TCGTGCATTCATTATAAATAAATGATATCAGTGTAAAAGGGATACGCTGCACTCGTCTCAGAGAGAATGACACGCAGTTTACCTCGTTGGCAAGCTCCGACCATGAAGTGCGCGCGCAACTCACGAGTAGAAAATTTTTAAGCAGAAATGATTCGCAATGAAATACCACAGATGTGTTTTTAAAAACCTTCAACTAGTATTTAGCGGTAGCATGTATGCATTAATTGCCCGCATTGCGCAAAATTCACCAGTGCTACCACAAGGTACAGCAAAAAATTGTACATCTTTAACTAATTCCTACTTGGTGTTTCTTACAGCTTGCGAAAACAAGAAGAGTGGAAGATTTTGTTCGATGAGGAAAGACTTGTGCTTCACGAAGAGAAACCATAAATTTCTCAGAGAGAACTGCCCAGAGACATGTGGCTACTGCAAAAGTAAGTTTAGTTTTTTTAATCAAGAAAAAAAACTTAATGGGGTGTTTACTGTTGATGTTTAGCATATCCTCTCCCCAGTCGTGAAAAAAGGCCATATGATTAGAGAATGACACCGAATTAAACGGAGTAACGAATGGTATTTTTACAGTTTTGGCAGAGTCTTAAATTGCAGACAATAATCTTTCCTAGCAAATCACAAGCACAAAAAAATCAACTCGATAATTTTTTACCTTTGCAACGGCGCTTTCGCACAAATTCAAAGCTAACTGAGAGCGGTCAAGTCGTCATTGGTATAAGCTATAGCTCATTCGGCAACAGTTATTCAATACTAAGAAAGCATTACTAATTAAGCGCTAAAGAATGTGTGCGACACTTGAAGTTTAAAACTTTTGATTGTAATTTTCAGAGGCATCATATTCTTGCAGGGAGGATTCTGGAGTTTGCGAAAGTGAGTGAGATGTTTTTCTCTTTTTTACTCAATTCGTTTATGAGCATGTAAGCTATACATGATTGAACCTTAATTTGCTTTTCGTTTGTAGATGACTGTTACGATGTTGAGCCTCAACAGCTGTGCGAACGACGCAAGAACAAAGGGTACTGTACAGTGGAGGAATGGAAGAACTACCTGCTGAAAAACTGTCCATTTACATGTGGCTTTTGTGGTAAGAACAAGAAACGATGGACCTCTCTGCAAAATGGCTCCCAAAACTGACAATGCATCCTTATAGCAGCTAGGATGCATTTCATCAGGGTTAGGTTCAGAAGCCAAATTCAGCACTGCGCAAAAGCAAAGAAAAAGCAAAAAGTAAAGTGTTGAGGGGCTGGTGTGGTCACATCCCACACTTAGAAAAATATAACGTTGAGTGTTTTGAGTGATCTCGTACTTGTCTTATTATTTTTCCTTTCTCTTTCCAGGTGAAGACAATCAAAGAATGGTCGCTAGAATGCTCTACACTGATTGAAGACATGCATCATATTTAAAAAAGATTCAGCCAATTTAAAAACCCTCTCTTAAACATTGTGGCTGTTTTTATAAGTTTTCTGTCTTAGATGTTGCTAACAAGCCTGTCTAGGGCTGCACAGCTAAACCATGTCACATCTTCTTAATCTATCTGTTAGGAGATTGCAATCTCAAAACCACTTTTGCACCCTTTCAAGTTTGAAGTAATAAACTATCAGATGGAATTGTGTATGTGTTTGTATTGCACTGATTACTACTCCAAAGTTAAAAACTACTGCTGAGTTTAGGTCCTGCCTTTTATTGTCACTAAGGTGTATGTGGGATATTGAAGCAAATGACAAGTCAAACACAGTGTTACCCTGTGAGTCGAAAGCTTGTCAAAACACATATAGACTTAAGTAGCAAGAATCTAATTTAAAAAAATTAGGTAGCAGGAGAAAAGTGTGAATGACAGGAGAGTATACATGAAGTGCACAAAGGTTCCATGTATGAATAAAAAAAACAGCTCATGCCATAATATGTTGGGTAGGAGAGTTCTCTGCTCTCCATCATCTAACAAAGCAACCTTCTGCTGAGAATAATGGTCACAATCTATGTTAAGATTTCATTCACAGCACTTAATTATTACTTCACCTAGCCAGGCATTCCCAGACTTTCACCGCAGCAAACCAAAGCAGAAAATAAGTGAGAACAAGACCAATTTCTTGGCATGAGAAATCTTGCCATTTAAAAGCAGAGAGGCAAGAATACATAAAAAACCAAGCACAATGAAACATGAAAAACCCCAATAACACCTTCCAGAAGGTGTGACTACCATTTTTTCACTTGTTTTCCACTGATGACTGTTGTTACAGAATGGCTAGCAATATAATGTAATTAAGGTAATTAATGACTATGAAACAAAGGTAAAAGGCTCTACAGATTATATTGAACTCATTTGGTCCAACGAACACATTTAAAACTCGACTAAATCCCATCAACTTATGCCAAGGAATATTAATTAACCAGTGGTGATTTGCTGCATTTACGCATATAAGTGTAAACGGTTTATTTGGGAAATAAACACATGCAGCACATCAAAGTTGAAATAGGGACCCTTTAACTGAAATCCTTACATAGTTCGGGTTAAATGGCTTGTGGTATGCACAGCATTATGTTTGAATTTTGTACACAAGTTGCAAAATGACAACTTTGAGGATTTGCCCTCTTGAAATGGGAGAACACGCGACGCCCACTAACTCGTAGATTTGCAACATATCATTTCTGCACATTCGAAGTGATAGAGAAGGAGTTTTGCTTCACTAACTGTGATGGCAATCGTTAGAAATCAGCAGAAGAATGAAAGCTGTTTGCTAAACCCGCGATCGTACAATAAATGTTACAATTATCATAATATCAAATTAAATTTTCATCGTTTCATATTTGTCCCTAAAGATAATAAAATAGAAGCTTCTCCTACTCACCATTAAATTTCATAGATGATAGCATTCGTTGCAGAGAATTTTTCCATTTCAACAGCATCAGAATTTGTCTTAGTAAAACAACACGGCGGAAATGTTGTCATCTGCAAGTACAAATCGGAAACCCAATGTATTTTGCTCGAATATTAATCGATTTTTCGCTCACGAAAGTTTATCTTTGTTAAATACCATTTAGTTAACTTTACCGTGAGGTGAAACAGTACAAATCTACTGGATGAATGGAACTCTATCGAGTATAAAAAGCAGAAAGCTTTCACTTGAAACACTCATACGGCCATGTTTGTGTATTTGATGTTTTAAAAACAGCGGGAAACCTCGTTTTCATGCTCTCGGCCCAGTTCCTTGGAACAGTTCATTTGGAACATTTCGGGCTGAGGGTCGGGGGGCTAAGGTGTTCTCAATACATTTCAAAGCAATTTTTTATCTTGTCCTTTTGCATATCTGATGAATGTAACTTAATGCCAAAGCTGAAAAGGCAAATTTTACCTGCTTACTACGGAACAACACGAAAAACAGATCGATCTCCTTAATTATAACATTTCGAGTCAGAACTGAGAGTGCACGATTGAGATTAATTTTCAGTTCACTGATTTCTTCAGTTCTTCAAGGAACTCTTCTTTGAAAGACTCAAGACGGCAATAGTCATAGCAACATAAATTATGCTTTTTCTGAGAGAGATGACGCAGTAGACGAGTAGACGCTGGTAATTACGACATTTACGCCGGAGTAATATAAACAAATGTGTAAAGAGTGAGAAAATGCTTTTGATGGAGATGCCAGTCCGAACAAAACCTCTGTCGTTTCCAACATTTTCAAAGTATCGTGGTGGTTCCAAGATGTGGCATTGAATATGAATGTGATCAAAAGAGCTGACTACGCAATCAAAAGCAATCTTAACGTCAAATTTGGTCTGTTATATACACGAATCTTTAATCTTGCAAGCAATCCACGAACCACAATCAACGATCAAAATCACGATCAATCTCACAATCAATCAATCGATCGTAAACTGAAACAATAATACAACGAAGTTCTATCAATCTAATGAAATGTTGCAAAACACATAATCAAAAATCGCGTGTAAAAAACTGGGCCTTCACGCAATCTTATACACCTCGTTAACCGCGTCTTGGAGCGACACCGCTTGGAATCTTATGAATTAGAATTTTTGGTCGCCGCAAGCGCTACATCATGATGTATATATATATATATATATATATTTATATATATATATTCAGGTGCAACTTTCAGCAGTCAGGATAACTCAATACAGGTAGACCAGTTATAAACAATCATTTTAAGTTTTTACAATACCTTGTGTAAGGAAAGAAACAATTTATAAACATGGTAGTTCGTTAACAGTGTCATCATAATTTTTTACGAAGATGAGGCATGGAGCATGACACGATGTGCACCCCCGCTGCTTGTAAACCTTAACGTTGATCCGAATGGTAACTCATCTTTTTTTCACTTCCACCCAAAAGTAATTGGTGTATGCAGCAGTGAATACTGAGCACGAGTTGAAAGAACACGCGCGACGATCGCGTGACGAGGTGACCAAGTTTGTGTTTGTTCTCGCGAAAGAACTCGAATCTAGGGCAGGAATCATTCAGTGGTAGACACTCTAATCAATACTATGAAAGGGTACGTAAAATCGAAAACCTTTCTTCAAAATATAACGTTAAAGGCTTTAATAGTCTCTTGAAAGTGTTTCGGTCCTCTCTGATTCTAAAAGCGATGAGTTTAAAAATAATTTGTTTCTTGGAGGTTTCGTATCAGTTGCTAAAAACTTAGTGGATGATTCCTAAAGTTTTCCCTAACCTTGCAATAGCTGAAATAACGCATGCTCGAAAATTATTTCGGTTCTGTGGAACTCTCTGTCTAGCTGCGACTCAGGTGCTGCTCTTTATCTCGTAATTTTGCTGTCGTCTGATAGGCTACGAAAGAGGCAGTAATAAATAGTACAAATAGATCAAACTGCAACCCGGATGGGGCTATAGTCGCAAAAAAAAAAGCAATCCTTCTTTTCACAGAAGAAGATTAATGTAACGTACCAATGTCATGGAAAGAAAATAAAATATAGACGGAGAAGAAACGTAGCGCAATCCCGTTATCCGCATAACGTTATTCCGAGAAGCGTTTTTCTCTTCTTCTTTGCTTTCTTTGTGTGAAAATAAGGCAGTTTTGTTTACAAGCAAAAGTACATAGCCTTCTATTTACAGGAAATCTTACTGGAGAGCTTAGCACTGAATTCAAATACTTCACGACATCACAGACTTCGTCTTGTGTGAGTATCTTGGTGCCAAGAACAACACCAGCGAAGTCCTGTTGCTTCATGGCTGGGAAACGGATTGCTTTTACGATATTCTCTCCAATAATTTTCCTTTTTACACTACCATCTACAGTCAAGCCTTCTTCTTTGCATTTCTTTGTAGCCCACGAGTCCACAGCTTTGAACAACTCTACCTCTTCAATATTCAGTGTGTCGCGTTTGACTACTTCTTCAATTAAAGATCTTTCAAGTGTCGCAAATCCATCTGATTTTATAGCCTCTTCGCGGTGTTTATCGATTACTTTCCAACATCGTTCCACCAACCTTTTCTTATCGAACTGATGAGCATTGGGCAAAATGCTAAAAGCATTTGACACATCCAGCTTATCTTGTAGATAATCGGTGCATTTATCAGCCAATGAAGGCACGATGTATTTCTTCGCCAAATATAACACTCCCATCACATTACTTCCGTTCAAATTTACTTCATCGCTGTACATGAAACGAAACAACTCCAGCAGACTTTCGTACTTACAGTCAGGCAGTTCAATAGAGTCTTTAGTCTCCGCCAACTCACCGTAAAACATGGCTTCAAACGCAGGACTGCTGATCGACAGAACAAACTTGTGAGCAGGAATTACATATTTACTTTCGCTTTCACCATCCATCTTCCTAACAACGAACTTTATATCGCTGAAGCACTCGTTGTTGAACATGAACTTGGCTCTTTCCCTGATGGTTGGTCGCGTTGTTTGCCATTTTATCTTCGGCGAGAGACATGATTCCTGACCGTGGTGCTAAAAGCAGAGACAGTTAACTTGAGATTGCGCGGGAGCGCAATATATAAGCGGGTGGCAGCTCGAGACACCGGTAGCTTAAGACATTTGAATATGCGATTACATTCCAAATTTTTGAACTTGTCACCCACTTTGGTTTCATGACCCAGTTTCTTCTACGGGTAAGTCTCCCTTTGTGGCGTTAAGAGTAATTCTTTTGGAACCTTGTAAAAAATTTTTAGAAACGTTTCATTTAAAAAGGTTTTAATAAGTATGAATAATATACGGTTCTGATCGAGTAGGTATTTAAGTCTAGTGTCGATACTAATGACCATGGGTAGGTTAAAGATAATTATTAACTTCCTGATTGTCACGAAGGAGAATGGAGCTTGGGCACTACAATCTCGCAACCAGACCTCTAGTGATTTCCTTGATTATAACATTTCGAGTAAAAGCTGAGAAAGATTGGGGTTAATTTTGAGCACTGATTCCTTCGACATACACTCTTCACTGAGTTCTTCAAGGAACTGCTCTTTAAAAGACTCCAGATTCAACTATATACTTTCTAAGAGAGATGAAAGCTTTAGTATGGAGTGGACGCATGAAGTAGACGCTAGTAATTACGCCAAAGCGCCAACTTTATAGAAAAAGTTTTGAGGCCATAATACAAAATAGATTATCACGACATTAATAATCTGTTTCGAGCTCTTTTTGAGCAAAAGGAAGTATGCTGAAGACATTAGTAGCATCTAAATTTTCTCCTAAAAATTTCCTGAACCTATTAACCTTTCTTATATATCGGGATTTTTCAGCAAAATCATCCTGATATTGTTCTTAAGTGTGTTCTTAAAATTGCCTCTAAAAAAATTTAATACTGCATTAACTACCAACATATGAAATCAATGTGCAAGTACAACATTTTAATTAATTAATGGATGGAACTAACCTTAACTGCATTAATCAAGGCAATAATATTACATTAGGGGAGGGATAGCAGGTCCCGAAACTCAGCAAAAGTCAAGCAAATTCAAAATGCACCAGTTCCCCCTCCCCCTTTCCAGTGATGTACCCTAGTACTGCACCCTAGTGGGTTATTCTAATCTAACTGGCAGCCAAATTTTTTTTTTTATATAAGAACAATTTTCATTTTTCAGGTTGAATGTGTTCTTAAGTGTATACCGGGTACATTTTTTGACCAAATTTCAGCCTTTTTAATCCAGTTGTTCTCTTATGTGGGTTTTTACTGCAGTGCAAGCAGATCCAACTGCAACCCAAGTGGGGCTTGTCGCAAAAAAAAAAGCAAAACAAAACAAAGCAATCCTTCTTTTCAAAGAAGATTAATGTAAATTACTAAGGTTATGGAAAAAAAATAAAATCCAGACAAAGAAGAAAACGTAACGCAATCCCGCAGTAAGCTTTAGATATCAAGTGCAAAACCGGTGAGGTTCCATATAATGAATGGAGTGTTTGTGGATGCTCTCTTCTTGTCGATCTCAAGTGATCTAGATGAAACGATCACTTAGGTAAGGAAAACTGATGCTTTTACAACATAAGTGTATTTTGCAGATTTATGTGAGTCGCGAAAACAATATAAATAATATAACTGGAACTAGTGGCAACGTGGCCACGAGCTACGAGCTACAGGCTAAGATTTCTTGACCAAAGATTTTACAAAAATTTACAACCAATACTACTACTTCTACGAGTTACCTGGTTATGACTCTAATTGGTCAGGAAAAACGCAAATTAATTTATCTATCTTTTCACGCCATTTCTTTAGAAATTTCAATCATTAAACTCATTGCAATTCATATCCATTCATTGAAGCAGTAATGATTTCTGTGAAAGGTCAGAATCAATTTGGCATAAATTAAGTGCCGGACTATCCAGATCAAGGCTTACGTATTTAACTACAGGCAAAGGGGCTGATTAAATTTCCTTAATGTCATCATTTACAATATCTAAGTATCACCAAGAGATTATAAACAGTTTATAGTCTCTAGGTTTCATCTACCTTAAGTTTGTAACGAATTAGCTGTTTCTAGAATGTCAGAAAAACAAATCTATGCCATTCCATATTTTTTAAAGGGGTCATTCGTGGTCATCTGCAGCTCAACTCAGGGATTATTTGAGGTCTGTTGTCGTTAACGGAGCTGTACAATATTTGCAATACCTAGTTATGTATCATAATACTTGATGAGGCTATTCTTCGGGAAGGAAACTTCTGGAAATGTTTGCTCTCAGATGCGGTGCTTCAGGACACGAGTGCCGCGCGTAATCGGGGGCAGCGTTCAATTGAGAAGATGTAACAGTTACATCGTTTGAAAAAGGAGTTCTGGAAATTGCCCTTGTTCAACTCCAGTTCCACCGCTGTTATTAGAGGTGCTTTTAAAACTAAAGTTGATCCCACGACAAGCCACAATCTTTTGACCATTTCGACCAAAACAGGAATTCGCACCAGAAATAGAAGCTTCGATACGATATCTTATTCCCTTTTCAATGACAATTGGATGGTTAAAGAGAATTCTGAAGCCATAAAAGGAATGCGGTTCTTCTTCAATGAGAACAGAGAGAAATTTCCCAGATACAGAATCAAGACCTACACCGTCAAATTTCTTTATGTGTATAGTCACAGAATATTCACTGTTTTCACTCCCGCATAACGTTATTCCAAGTAACGAAATGTTTTTGTCAACTGAGAAATAAAGACAGTCTTGTTTACCAGAAGAATAAGAATAGCTTGAGTCAACATTGTCCAAATTTTCAAATCTGCAACAAGCAAAAATAACTTGCCTTTTCTTTACCGGAAATCCTACTGAGGAGCTTAGCACTGAGTTCAAATACTTCACAACATCATAGACTTCGTCTGGTGTGAGTATCTTGGTGTCAAGAACAACACCAGCGAAGTCCTGTTGCTTCATGGCTGGGAAACGGATTGCTTTTACGATATTCTCTCCAATAATTTTCCTTTTTACACTGCCATCTGCAGTCAAGCCTTCTTCTTTGCATTTCTTTGTAGCCCACGAGTCCACAGCTTTGAACAACTCTACCTCTTCAATATTCAGTGTGTCGCGTTTGACTACTTCTTCAATTAAAGATCTTTCAAGTGCCGCAAATCCATCAGATTTTAAAGCCTCTTCGCAGTGTTCATCGATTACTTTCCAACATCGTTTCACCAGCTTTTTCTCATCGAACTGATGAGCTTTAGGTAAAATACTAAAAGCATTTGACGCATCCAGCTTATCTTGTAGATAATCGGTGCATTTATCAGCCAGTGAAGGCACGAAGTATTTCTTCGCCAAATACAACACTCCCATCACATTACTTCCGCTCAAGTTCGCTTCATCGCTGTACATGAAACGAAACAACTCCAGCAGACTTTCGTACTCACAGTCAGGCAGTTCAATAGAGTCTTTAGTCTCCGCCAACTCACCGTAAAACATGGCTTCAAACACAGGGCTACTGATCGACAGAACAAACTTGTGAGCAGGAATTACATATTTACTTTCGATTTCACCATCCATCTTCCTAACAACGAACTTCACATCGCTGAAGCGGTCAGTGTTGAACATGAACTTGGCTCTTTCCCTGATGGTTGGTCGCGTTGTTTGCCAGTTTTCTTCGACGAGAGACATGATTCCTGACCGTACGTGATGCTAAAGGTAGAAACAGTTAACTTTAGATTGCGAGGGAGTGCAACATAAGCTAAAGTAGTTTAGGGCCTGGGTTTTATCTTGATTCGAGACCCCCAGCAGAGTTTCAGGAGATTGAAATACGAGTGGTCAGCGGGAAACAAATTTAATACTTCATATAGAGACATATCAGTTGTAGTTGCAAAAAACAATAGTGTTGTAAAGCCGAAATGTTAGCAGTATACTTCGCTAAATAAAATGTTAAGCAATTTTTCAAAAGTATTGATGGCACGTATATCTTTTACTGCTGTAATAAACAATGGAGGCATCGGAAAAGGCATCGGTGGCATCCGGAAAGGCACCAAGAAGAATTATATTTACGTTTTGTAACTTGCTGCGTGACGAAAAAAGAAAACCAAATCCGTGGTCCCCAAATGAATTCTCCTACCTTGCCCCAAAAAATTTTCAAATTTTTCGCAACTTCACCTGTTCCTATTCGTAGGTCCGGCCAAGCCTTTATGGTCATTGGCCCCCGTATAGCCGCTAACTATGGCTTATAAATACAGGTGTTTAGTGTTAACTTGTAAAACTCCCCGAAGAAGTCTACGGCAGTTAGACGAAACGCGTCTAAATAAAGAAATTTTACAACTACTGTTCGCAGAGTGTTGCTCATCAGTTCAGTTTTAAAGATTTTTTAAAAAAATTTGGTGCGATAGCTATGGTCAGTTTTTCCATGCAGGTTGTCTGGATATACCTTTCACAGAGACGTGGGGAGGACAGAGACACCAACACAACATTTTACCTGTCGTTCGGTTCGAAAGTTAAGTTTTCATCCCGAGTTCATTTGTTAAATTGAATAGCAAAAAAAGCACTTCGAACGGAAAACAGAATTATGTTAACGTCTGGATCTTTTGAAAAAAGGTCTCCTAAACGAGTGGCCTTGATTATCAATATTTAAGCATGGTAAGCTCCCATCCTCGTCGCCAGTATGTTGTGTCGTCTAGACTCAGTCAAGTTACTTCTTTCATTGCTATTGCTCAACTGAATTTTATTAAAGAATCAACAAGCTATATTCACAATACAGTACTAGGAATCAGTAATACTACTTTTACATAGGAATGTACTTTTACAATCATGTACCGATCGTGTCTTACAGGATATAGCGTGACTATAGTAACGCTTAGGTAACGCAATACACTACATCCTTCCCGGACAAAGTTCAAAGGTTTCTATTTCAAAGTTAATTAAAGATAATCATTTTAAACTATTTTAATCAGCTAATAATATACGAAGTTCTCGTTATCTTGTGTAGACTTGACTACACGTCCGGACCTAGTCGTGACATTGCCTTTATTCTGAGAGGCTTGATCATCGGAATGATCACTTTCCATACGAGCATCAGAATGTTTGTGAATGATCTCACTAGATTCAACATTCGCTGAATCACTAGAACAACTAGACCCATTACTTTGTTCGTCGTTGCTAGTATCTACGATTTCTTCATTCTCATTTGTGGGTGCGCGCTTCAAGTATTTTGCATTTCGAATAAGAGTGGTACCAGTTGCTGCGTTGACCAAGGTAAAAGTGTCTCTCCCCCGGGACTGAATGATAACATGCTTAGCCGGGTGAAATTGAGAATCTAACTTTGCTGGCTTCATGTTTGCGCAAAATACGATATCGCCGATTTTAAAGTTGTGCGGCGTTGCGTTATTTTTCTTGTCGTGATAATCTTTCATGCGCTCTTGATATTTGTGACATCGAGAACGAAGCTCGTCGTCATTTTGGCTGGTCTGATTTGACTCGACATGTGGAACTTTCATACGAATTTCTCGATTGAACAACAACATAGTTGGTGATTTCCCACTAACAGGATGAGGAGTCGCTCGGTAAGACATAAGAATTTTGGGTAATTCCTTTTCCCATGATTTGCCTTCCGATATTGCAGCGCGAAAATTTTTTTTAAGGTACCGATGAAATCGCTCTAATTTTCCATTGCTTCTAGCAAAATACGGCGAAACGCGAGTATGCTTGATACCGCACGTTTTCAGAAAGTTTTCAAATTCTGCGCTTACAAATTGTTTACCATTGTCAGAAACCAACTCTTCTGGAAAACCAAATCTGGCAAAAATATCTGTCAGAACTCGAATGACCTCACGAGAGGTGATGTGTCGCAGTATGTGCGCCTCCGGAAATGACGAATAATAATCGATGTACGTCAAAATAAATTTCCCGTTTACTGGACCAACGATATCTACTGCGCCCTTTACCCAAGGACCACGAGGTAACGATGCGGGCAGGAGAGGCGTGTACTTGTTTAACGGTTGATTTAAAACACATGCACGACAATTTTTAATCATTGCCTCTGCTGCGCTGTCCATTCCAGGCCAAAAGAATCGTGACCTGAGAAACTGTTTAGTTTTGACAATTCCCTGGTGCGTCTCATGCGAGAGCTTAAGAATTTTCTTTTGCAGTGACGAAGGAACAACAATTCGATTTCCTCTGAGAATAACTCCTTCATAAACAGATAATTCATCCTTAACTGCTTTAAACGGTTTCAGTTTTTCGTCGCGCGACCACTTGCAATCTTGAATATGCTCGATTAATTTGGACAAAGTGTCATCTCTGCGTGTTTCGCGGCTCATCTCGGCAAGAGTGACAGCTTGCAGGTCTAACATGTTGGTGTCATAAACAAACCTAACATAATTCTCGCAAACAGTTCCGCTATCGGTGTAGTTTTCACACTTCGAAGGAAGTCGAGACAGTGAATCTGCAGTGTTGTCCTTTCCCGATACGTGTTGTATATGGAAATTGTACTGATGCAATCTCCAGGCCAAACGTTGAATTCGCGGTGGCAGGACTTTGCTGGACTGCGGATCAAACATGCTGGACAGAGGTTTGTTGTCAGTAAGTAGCGTAAAATTGATTCCGAACAAATAATTGTGCAGGCGTTCGACTGCCCATACGCATCCAAGCGCTTCGCGTTCGATTTGCGAATATCTTCGTTCGGTGGGCGTAAGTGATCGACTTATGTAGGCGATTGGTTTTCGCTCGCCGTTAGTTTGGTCTTGAAGCAGGATTGCTCCTAAACCTACTGGACTAGCATCGGTGATCAAATACGTAGGAGAGTTTAAGCGAAAACATGCGAGAACGGGCTCGCAAGACAACGCTTCCTTAAGGGCTTCGAATGCCTCTTTTTGCTCCTTTCCCCACGAAAATTTTACTTCGCTCCGAGTTAACTTTCGCAAAGGTTCCACGATGTTCGCGTAATTCGGTATGAATTTGGAAACATAACCGCACGTTCCAAGAAATGACCTAAGATCTGATACATTCTTTGGCGGTGGTGTAGCTTTTATTGCTTCGCACTTTTTCGGATCCGGCTTAATACCATCGGCAGATACTACATGGCCTAACACCGAAATCTTGGTAACGCCGAATTCACACTTGCTTTGATTTAGCCTTAAGTTGTTCGCACGACATCTCTCGAAAACTTTACGGAGCCGGTTAATGAGTTCTTCCATTGTCACAGCGTGCACGATGACATCGTCGATAGAGATTTGAACTCCGTCGATTCCGAACAAAATTTGTTCCATCATCTTTTGGAAAGCTTCGCTTGCATCACTAAGACCGAAGGGAGTACGCTTAAACCTAAAACAACCACGAGGCGTGATGAAGGTAGTGATGTACCGCGACTCTTCAGCTAGCGTAAGCTGAAAAAAACCACTCTTCGCATCGATTTTTGCAAAATACTTCGAACCGTGCATAGCTTGCAAAGTGTCATCTACCTTAGGTAATAGGTGTCGTTCCCTAATTACAGCCTTATTTACTTCCCTGAGGTCACAACACACTCTTATTTCCCCCGATTTCTTTGGGACGATTACTAACATGGTAAGGCTGTTTCTCGAAGCTCAATGTTTTCCCACATGCCTTCTTCACGTGAAATGAGGCAATTGAATATGTATAATTAGTGGCTGTACGCGTTAGTGAATTCGCAGCTACAGAAAAATAGAGCTAATTTCTTGAAATCAACACAAAACCAACACTCACCTCAGCTGTAGACCTGACATCTGCGAAAAAACAGCGTCTTCTGTAAAATTTAGGCTAGAAATCGATCTTAACTTCCTCGAAAACGTGCACGCTCTAATCGAGAATCGGCCGCCATGTTACAACTCTTTGATTGGCCACTCGTATTTTGGTCTCTTCTTCTTTCCCCACTCGTCGCCCGTGATGTAGTAACTCCCCATTCAATTGGTGAACACACCAATAGATTATTCATCTCGGTACACTTTCGGTCATTTTTGTTGTCGGGTAAAACAGGGAAAACATTTATCTGAATTTCTCCAAAAGTACACCGATTCTGGAACTGAAACTACCCACCTAGCTGGTTATAATAGACTAGTTTTTAAATAAGTAAAAATGTCTGCGGGCCTGCCTCTACTTTCCATAGGGGACTCTTCACTAGTTCTTCACAAAACTTGTCAGCCTGGAAATTAGTGCAATGTTTGCAAGCAAGGGGGACTAAGTTTTATTAATTTTGCCACAATGGTGAAATCGTTATGCTTAGCATGGATAAGTAGGTTACTCAGTGGGTGATTCCGACGACTCATGGAAAGTAATCCCGAATTCCTATCTTTCAGAGCACGTCAGCCTCCATTTTCTTCGCAAATGCAACTATAGTGCTGAATCCATAAACAAATGTTTACCTAATTTTTATCGAGAACTGCTACAATATTTCCAAGAAATTAAAAACAAGATCAATGTATTTCCATATAGCGAATATTGACTTTGGAACAATAAGGCTATTACCATTGAAAATTATCCCGTTTTTTGGAGATCCTGGTTCAAACGGAAAATTCTTTACGTACAAGATGTCCTAAATGCCAATGGGAATTTTTTAATGATTGAAGAATTTCAAACCAAGTTCAAAATCAAAACTTTCTTCACCACCTTCAATTAATTGCTGCTATTCCATCGGACTTAAAAAAGAAAGCTGCCGCAATTGAAGTACCCTCGTAAGAATTGTTAAACACAACTAAAATATCCTCTTCAATGATTCCTACTCTAGATTTAACTGAAATGCGCTGCAAAAACTACTATAAAATTATCAGTGGAAACTATCGATGAGCCGACTGGTATTCAAAACTGCAAAAACAAATTCCCTGATTTTTTCACAGATTGGGGAAAAAAATTTTCGTTTATAAATAAATCCACTATATCAGTCAAGGCAAGAGAAACATTTGGGATTTTTTATGTTAAAGCTATCGATTATTTGAATCCATAGGAAACTACAAGCCATGCAACGCGTAGTAACCCCTTAAATATCATCATCGACATAACGTTTCCAGAAAAAGGGTTTAACCGGTGAAGTGGCTAAGGCCCTTTGTTCTACGTCTTCCATTACCATGTTGGCAATGACAACAGAGACGGGCGAACCCATAGCTGTACCAAAAACCCGTTGATAGCAGGTGCCGTTGTATGCAAATTGCGTGGTTTTGAGGCAAAAAGACAGCAGATGAAAAATGTCCTCCACGGCAAAGAAGTTCTTTGTCCTAGGGAGGCATCTTCTCTGAGTCTCTCCTCCGCAACCTTAACGGCAAGATCAACTTAGCCACTTCACCGGTTAAACCCTTTTTCTGGAAACGTTATGTCGATGATGTTATTTCTGCGGTATCCGGAAATGAAGCGAAGCGCCTCCTATCGCATTTGAATTCAATTTATTCCAAACGTAGATGGCTTGCATTTTTTGCTGAGTATTTGTTTCATTCATTGGTCATTGACGAATGTGTGTAAATCTTACCACTTCCGACAAAAACTGATTGAGTAGCGTTTTGATCACGTGTCCCGACAAGTAACCTTCGTCGTCGTTATTGTCGCCTTAAGGTAAAAGTTCGTACATTGCCCGCACCTATCAACCAGTGAAGGCACCAAGTACGTATTTCTTCGCCAGATACAACACTCACATCACATTTCTTCCGCTGACTTCATCGCTGTACATGTAACAAAGCAACTCTAAGAGACTCTCGTACTCACAGTCAGACAGTTCAATAGAGTCTTTAGTCTCCGCCAACTCGCCGTAAAACATAGCTTCAACTTGAAGCTATGTTGAACAGAGGACTAACATTAATCACTTTACAGAGAATAGAAATTCAGAAAATTGTCTTCTTTCTACTGTCGTTCCATTGCTACTCTCAAAACTGTTATCAAATATAAAACTAACATTCGAGTGAAAAACAACAACCTCTCTACCCTTTTGACCGGAGTAAGACTTAGCCCCAGAAATAGAAGCTTCAACACGGTGTAATTTCTGCTTCGGATTAACGATTGGATTAGAAAACCAACTTCAAAACCATGGTAAGGACTAGAAAGTGTTTCAGTCTTCTCTGATTTGAAAGCGATGATTTTAAAAATCACTATTCGGGGGGTTTCGTATCAGCTGCTAAAAACTTACTGCATGAAATTCCGAAAGTATTCCCAAAACTCACCTTAGACCTAACCTTGCAATAGTTGAAATAACGCATGCTCGAAAAATCATTTCAGTTTTGTGGAACTCTCTGCCAGATGCGACTCGGATGCTGCTCTTTATCTTATATTTTTGCTGTCGTAGATAGGCAACGAAAGAAGCAGTAATGAATACAGTGAAACCCGCATAAAAGAACACGTGTTTTGGTGGCTCAGGCTGATTTTGTTCTTATATGTCGGGACTTTTCAGCAAAATCAGCCTGATATTATTCATAAGTGTGTTCTTAAAAAATTACTTCTTAAAATTGAATACTGCATAGACTACCAACATAAAAAATCAATGTGCAAGCACAACATTTTAATTAATTAATGGTTGGAACTAACCTCAACTGCATTAATCAAGATAATGAGATTACTTCGGGGGAGGGGTAGCAGTTCTGGTTATAAACAACCCGAAACTCAGCAAAGTCAAGCAAATTAAAAATGCACCAGCTCCCCCTCCCCCTTTCCAGTAATGTACCCTAGTACTGCACCCTTGTAGGTTATTCTAATCTAACTGATAGTCAATTATTTGTTACGAGAACAATTTTCACTTTTAGGTTGATTGTGCTCCAGTTGTTCTTTCACGTAGATTTTTACTGTAGAACAAGTAGAACCAACTGCAACCCAAGTGGGGCTGGTCGCAAAAAAACAAAACAAAACAAAACAAAACAAACCAGCCCCCTTCAGAGAAGAAGATTAATGTGACCTACTTATATTATGGAAAGAAAGTAAATATAGACAAAGCAAAAAAAGTAACGCAATCCCGCAGTAAGCTTTAGGTATCAAGTGTAAAACTGGTGAGGTTCCATATAATGAATGGACTGTTCGTGGATGCTCTCTTCATGTCGATCTCAAGTGATCTAGATGACACGATCACTTAGGTAAAGAAAACTGATGCTTTTATAACATAAGTGTATTTTGCCACCTGATTATTTCGATCCTCTTTTGGCCACTTACGTATTCATGGTGAATGCACCATTAATCCCCACATGATTAGATTTCTGAATTAATCCCTCGTTTTTTTCAAGATGATTAGAGATGCATTATGAGCTCGCCTGTATGTTACCGTAATCGTTAATTACTAAGTTACTACCGATGCCTTAAAATTGATAATTTCTAGCCTAGACTTTTCCGAAATAGTAACGTTCTAGATTATGTGTGGGAAAGAGATGTTTAAGAGTTGTTTTTAGGAGAGTCAGTCTCATGTTATCTTTAATCTCGAGGGTTTTAGTCTTCAGGTCGAAGAATGTCTAATCGATTAAATTCCACAAGAAATCCCACAAGAAGTTAACATTGATGCACGCTTTTATAAAAGATAAACAAGAGATAAATCAAAGTACCAAGTCATCATAACTTTCTAACCTTTGTATAAGGCAAACCGCGTTTTAAGATTCCTTTGAGTCGCGAGAGCAATATAAACATTATAACTGGAACTAGTGACAATGTGGCCACGAGTTACGAGCTCGTTCATTCAATTACTACAAGTTACCTGGTTATCACTGTAATTGGTCAGAAAAAAAATGCAAATTAATTTATCCATCTTCTCAAGCCACTTCTTTAGAAATTTCAAACATTAAACCAACTGCAATTCATATCCATTTATTGACGCAGTAAAATAATGATTTTTGTGAAAGGTCAAAACTCAATTTGGCATAACTTAAGTGCCAGACTATCTAGATCAAGGCTTACGTAAAACCACAGGCAAAGGGGCTGATTACATTTCCTTCATGTCATTACTTATAATATCTAAGTATCACCAAGAGATTATAAACAGTTTATAGTCTTTAAGTATCAAGTTAGCTGTTTCTAGAATGTCAGAAAAACAAATCTATGCCATTCCATATTTTTTAACGGAGTCATTCATGGTCATTTGCAGTTCAATTCAGAGATTATTTGAGGTCTTTCATCGTTAACAAAGCTGTACAATATTTGCAATACCTAGTTATGCATCATAACACTTGATGAGGCTCCTCTTCGGGAAGGAAGCTTCTGCAAATGTTTGCTCTTAGATGCGGTACTTCAGGACACGAGTGCAGCGATAATCAGGGGCAGCGCTCAATCGAGAAGATGCAACAGTTACATTGTTTGAAATAGGAGTTCTGGAAATTGCCCTTGTTCAACTCCAGTTCCACTGCTGTTATTAGAACTGCCTTTAAAACTAAAGTTGATCCCAGAACAAGCCACAATCTTTTGACCATTTCGACCAAAACAGGAATTCGCACCAGAAATAGAAGCTTCGATACGATATCCCGTTCCCCTTTTAATGACAATTGGATGGTTAAAGAGAATTCTGAAGCCGTAAAAGGAATGCAATTCTTCTTCAATGAGCACAGATAGAAATTTCCCGCATACAAAATCAAGATATGCACCGTCAAGTTTCTTTATGCGGATAGTCACAGAATAATCATTGTTTTCACTTCCGCATAACGTTACTCCAAGTAACGAAATGTTTTTGTCAACTGAGAAAATAAGACAGTCTTGTATACCAGAAGAATAAGAATAGCTTGAGTCAACATTGTCCAAATTTTCAAATCTGCAACAAGCAAAAGTAAATAGCCTTTTCTTTACCGGAAATCCTACTGGAGAGCTTAGTACTAAATTCAAATACTTCACGACATCAAAGACTTCGTCTGGTGTGAGTATCTTTGTGTCAAGAACAACACCAACGAATTCCCGTTGCTTCATGGCTGGGAAACGGATTGCTTTTACGATATTCTCTCCAAGAAGTTTCCTTTTTACATTGCCATCTGCAGTCAAGCCTTCTTCTTTGCATTTCTTTGTAGCCCACGAGTCCACAGCTTTGAACAACTCTACCTCTTCAATATTCAGTGTGTCGCGTTTGACTACTTCTTCAATTAAAGATCTTTCAAGTGTCGCAAATCCATCTGATTTTAAAGCCTCTTCGCAGTGTTCATCGATTACTTTCCAACATCGTTTCACCAGCTTTTTCTCATCGAACTGGTGAGCTTTAGGTAAAATACTAAAAGCATTTGACGCATCGAGCTTATCTTGTATATAATCGGTGCATTTATCAGCGAGTGAAGGCACCATATACTTCTTCGCCAAATACAACACTCCCATTACATTACTTCCGTTCAAATTTACTTCATCGCTGTACATGAAACGAAACAACTCCAACATACTTTCGTACTCACAGTCAGGCAGTTCAATAGAGTCTTTAGTCTCCGCCAACTCACCGTAAAACATGGCTTCAAACACAGGACTGCTGATCGACAGAACAAACTTGTGAGCAGGAATTATATGAGTAATTTTGTTATCACTATTCCTCGTCGTAATAACGAACCTCACATCGCTGAAGCGGTCGTTGTTGAACATGAACTTGGCTCTTTCCCTGATGGTTGGTCGCGTTGTTTGCCAGTTTTCTTCGACGAGAGACATGATTCCTGACCGTAGGTGGTGCTAAAAGCAGACACAGTTAACCTCAGATTGCGAGGAAGTGCAACTGATATATAAGCGGCTGGCAGCTCGAGACAGCGGTAACTTAAGACATTTGAATATGCGATTACATTTGAAGTTTTTGAACTTGTCACCCACTTCGGTTTCGTGACCCAGTTTCTTCTACGGGCAAGTCTCTCTTTGTGGCGTTAGGAGTAATTTTTTTGAAACCTTGTAAAAAAAAGTTTTTAAAAACGTTTCACTTAAAAAGGTTTTATCAAGTATGAATAATGTATGGTTCTGATCGAGTAGGTATTTAAGTCTAGTGTCAATACTAATGACCATGGGTACGTTAAGGATAATTATTAACTTCCTGACTGTCACGAAGGAGAATGGAGCTTGGGCACTACAATCTCGCAACCAGATCTCTAGCGATTTCCTTGATTATAACATTTCGAGTAAAAGTTGAGAAAGATTGGGATTAATTTTGAGCGCTGATTCCTTCGACATACACTCTTCACTGAGTTCTCCAAGGAACTGCTCTTTAAAAGATTCCAAATTCAATAATATACTTTCTAAGAGAGATGAAAGCTATAGCATGAAGTAGAGGCATGAAGTAGACGGTAGTAATTAGGCTGAAGTGCTAAATTTATAGCCAAAGTGATACATTATACCGTGATACAAAATAGATTATCACGACATTGATAAACTGTTTCGAGCTCTTTTTGAGCGAAAGGAAGTATGCTGAAGACATTAGTAGCATCTAAATTTTCTCCTAAAAATTGCCTGCACCGATCAACCTTTCCTATATAACGGAATTTTTCAGCAAAATCAGTAAGTGTGTTCTTAAAATTGCCTCTAAAAAATTTAATACTGCATAGACTACCGACATATGAAATCAATGTGCAAGCACAACATTTTAATTAATTAATGGATGGAACTAACCTTAACTGCATTAATCAAGGCAATAATATTACACGAGGGAAGGGGTATCAGTTCCCGAAACTCAGCAAAAGTCAAGCAGATTCAAAATGCACCGGCCCCCCTCCTTCTTTCTAGTACTGTACCCAAGTACTGCACCCTTGTAGGTTATCCTAATCTAACTGGCAGCCAATTTTTTTTCATATAAGAACAGTTTTTATTTTTCAGGTTGAATGTGTTCATAAGTGTATGGTACTTTTTTTACCAAATTTCAGCCTTCTTAATCCAGTTGCATTGTTCTTTTATGAGGGTTTTTACTGTAGTACAAGTACATCCAATTGCAACCCAAGTGGGGCTGGTCGCAAAAAAACAAAACAAAACAACCCTTCTTTTCAAAGAAGAAGATTAATCTAACCTACTAATGTTATGGAAAGAAAATAAAATCCAGACAAAAAAGAAAACGTAACGTAATCCCGCAGTAAGCTTTAGATATCAAGTGTAAAACCGGTGAGGTTCCCTATAATGAATAGAGTGTTCGTGGATACTCTCTTCTTGTCGATCTCAAGTGATCTAGATGAAACGATCTTAGGTAAGGAAAACTGATGCTTTTACAACATAAGTGTATGTATTTTGCAGATTCATGTGAGTCGCGAAAGCAACATTAACAATATAACTGGAACTAGTGGCAACGTGGCCATGAGCTACGAGATACAGGTTAAGATTTCTTGACCAAAGATTTTACAAAAATTCACAGCCAATACTATTACTAAAAGTTACTTGGTTATTACTCTAATTGGTCAGAAAAAAATGCAAATTGATTTATCGATCTTTTCACGCCATTTCTTTAGAAATTTCAAACATTAAACTCACTACAATTCATATCCATTTATTGAAGCTGTAAAATAATGATTTCTGGAAAAAGGCAGAGTCAGTTTGGCATAAATTAAGTGCCAGACTATCCAGATCAAGGCTCACGTAAAACCATAAGCAAATGGGGCTGATTCAATTTCCTTAATTTTATTATTAACAATACCTAAAAATCACCAAGAGATTATTATAAGATAATAACCTCTTGGTATCATCCACCTTAAGTTTGTAACGAGTTAGCTGTTCCTTGAATGTCAAACAAACAAATCTATGTCATTCAATTCCAGATTTTTTTACAGGGTCATTCATGGTCATTCGGATAGGACGCTACTGCAAATTTGTGCTCTTAGATGCGGTGCTTCAGGACACGAGTACGGCGCATAATCGGGGGCAGTGCTCAATCGTGAAGATACAACAGTTACATCGTATGAAAAAGGAGTTCCGGAAATTGCCCTTGTGCAACTCCAGTTCCATTTCTGTCCTCAGAACTGTCTGCAAAACTAAACTTGATCCCAGAACAAGCCACAATCTTTTGACCATTTCGACCAAAACAGGAATTCGCACCAAAAATAGAAGCTTCGATACGATGTCTTATTCCCTTTTTGATGACAATTGGATCGTCATAGAGAATTCTGAAACCATAAAAGGAATGCAATTCTTCTTCAATGAGCACAGATGGAAATTTCCCGGACACAGAATTAAGATATTCATTGCGCCTGTCAAGTTCCTTTATGCGGATATTCACAGAATATTCATTGTTTTCACTTCCACATAGCGTTAATCCAAGTAACAAAAGGTTTTTGTCAACTGTGAAAATAAGACAGTCTTGCTTCCCAGAAAAATAAGAATAGCTTAGGTCAGCATTGTTTAAATTTTCGAATCTGCAACAAGCAAAAGTACGTAGCCTTTTCTTTACCGGAAATCCTATTGGAGAGCTCAGCACTGAATTAAAATACTTCACGACATCAAAGACTTCGTCTTGTGTGAGTATCTTGGTGTCGAGAACAACACCAGCGAAGTCCTGTTGCTTCATGACTGGGAAACGGATTGCTTTTACGATACTCTCTCCAAGAAGTTTCCTTTTTACATTGCCGTCTACAGTCAAGCCTTCATCTTTGCATTTCTTTGTAGCCCACGAGTCCACAGCTTTGAACAACTCTACCTCTTCAATATTCAGTGTGTCGCGTTTGATTACTTCTTCAATTAAAGATCTTTCAAGTGTCGCAAATCCATCAGATTTTATAGCCTCTTCGGAGTGTTCATCGATTACTTTCCAACATCGTTTCACCAGCTTTTTCTCATCGAACTGATAAGCTTTAGGCAAAATACTAAAAGCATTTGACGTATCGAGCTTATCTTGTAGATAATCGGTGCATTTATCAGCGAGTGAAGGCACCATATACTTCTTCGCCAAATACAACACTCCCATCACATTACTTCCGTTCAAATTTACTTCATCGCTGTACATGTAACGAAACAACTCCAGCAGACTTTCGTACTCACAGTCAGGCAGTTCAATAGAGTCTTTAGTCTCCGCCAACTCACCGTAAAACATGGCTTCAAACACAGGGCTGCTGATCGACAGAACAAACTTGTGAGCAGGAATTACATATTTACTTTCGATTTCACCATCCATCTTCCTAACAACGAACTTCACATCGCTGAAGCGGTCGTTGTTGAACATGAACTTGGCTCTTTCCCTGATGGTTGGTCGCGTTGTTTGCCAGTTTTCTTCGACAAGAGACATGATTCCTGACCGTAAAACAGAGACAGTTAACTTGAGATTGCGAGGGAGTGCAATATATAAGCGGGTGGCAGCTCGAGACAGCGTTAACTTAAGACATTTGAAATTTTTGAACTTGTCACCCACTTTGGTTGCGTGACGCAGTTTCCGTTACGGGTAAGTCTCCCTTTGTGGCAATAAGAGTAATTTTTTGGAACCTTGTGAAAAAGTTTTCAAAAACGTTTCATCTAAAAAGGTTTCATTGAATATGAATAATATATGTTTTTGATGGAGTAGGTATTTAAGTCTGGTGTCAATACTAATGACCGCGGATAACTTCCAGACTGTCACGAAGGAGAATAGAGCTTGGGTACTACAATCTCGCAACCAGACCTTTAGCGACTCCTTGATTATAACATTTCGAGTTAAAACTGAGAAAGATTGGGGTTAATTTTGAACACTGATCCCTTCGACATACACTCTTCACTGAGTTCGTCAAGGAAATGCTCTTCAAAAGACTCTAAATTCAATCATATACTTTCTAAGAGATATGAAAGCTATAGCCAGCATGAAGTAGACACAGGAAGTAGACGCTAGTAATTACGCCGAAGCAAATGACATAGAAAAATTAAACGAGAAAGGAGTGAGGAAAAGCCTTTGATGGAGATGCCAGTCAACTAAAGTGGGTCGTTTTTAAATTAACGCGGTTTATTGCAAAGTATTGGAGTGCTTTCCAAGATGAGCCATTGAATAGCAACTAACAAATCAAAGTGAGTCATTAATTACTGACATCTTTAATTTCCACTGGTGATAATGCGAGGGAAAAAACTCTTCAAACACAGCTTTAAAAAAAATGACGTAGTTGATCAACTGAACTAAACCATCATAAGCACTGTTATTTCTCACTGGTTTCCCCATGATAGTCCCTTCAATGTCATAAATAGCGACTCGTGGTACATAATTCACGGTATCTTGCATCCCTTAAAGGAAAAAAAATATTTTAATTTCAAATTCAAAACTCAAGCAGCCGTAACAGTGATTATGTCACTCTTCATACATTTGAAGCGCCAATTGTATAGCAAAGTTTTTGACGCCATGATATAAAATAGATTATCACGACATTGATAATCTGTTTCGAGCTTTTTTTGAGCGAAAGGAAGTATGCTGAAGACATTAGTAGCATCTAAATTTTCTCCTAAAAATTGCCCGCACCTATCAACCAGTGAAGGCACCAAGTACGTATTTCTTCGCCAGATACAACACTCTCATCACATTTATTCCGCTGAATTCATCGCTGTACATGTAACAAAACAACTCTAACAAACTCGTACTCACAGTCAGGCAGTTCAATAGAGTCTATAGTCTCCGCCAACTCACCGTAAAACATAGCTTCAACTTGAGGCTATGTTAAACACAGGACTAACATTAATCACTTAACAGTGAATAGAAATTCTGGAAATTGCCCTCTTTCTACCTTCGTCCCATTGCTACTCTCAGAACTGTTATCAAATATAAAACTAACCTCCGAGTGAAAAACAACAGCCTCTCTATCCTTTTGACCGCAGAAATAATTAGCCCCAGAAATAGAAGCTTCAACACGGTGTAATTTCTGCTTCGGAGTAACGATTGGATTAGAAAACCAACTTCAAAACCATAGTAAGGATTAGAAAGTGTTTCAGTCCTCTCTGGTGCTGAAAGCGATGAATTTAAAAATCACTATTTAGGGGTTTTCGTAACTTATGGAATGAAATTACGAAAGTATACCCAAAGCTCACCTTAGACCTAACCTTGCAATAGTTGAAATAACACATGCTCGAAAAATCATTTCAGTTTTGCGGAACTCTCTGCTAGGTGCGACTCGAATGCTGTTCTTCGTCTCATAGTTTTGCTGTCGTAGATAGGCAACGAAAGAAGCAGTAATGAATACAGGGAAAACCCGCGTAAAAAAACACGTGCTTTGGTGACTCAGGCTGATTTTGTTCTTACATATCGAGACTTTTCAGAAAAATCAACCTGATATTGTTCTTAAGCGTGTTCTTTAAATTGCTTCTAAAAATTTAATACTGCAGAGACTACTAGCATATAAAATCAGCGTGCAAGCACAACATTTCAATTAATTAATGGATGGACCTAACCTTAACTGCATTAATCAAGGCAATAATATTACATTGGGGGAGGGGTAGCAGTTCTGGTGATAAACAACTCGAAACTCAACAATAGTCAAGCAAATTCAAAACGCACCAGCTCCTCCTCCCCCTTTCCAGTACTGTACCCTAGTAGGTTATTCTAATCTAACTAGCAGCCAGTTTTCTCTTTTTGTGGGAACAATTTTCATTTTTTAGGTTGATTGTGTTCTTAGGTGTATGGTACTTTTTACTCGGGCTTCGCAGAATGCCCGAGTTATAAATTGGGCTCTCTTTTTAGTGTTGTTCAGTCACAAATCGCCCCTCGCTAAAGCGGAAGCGTGAGGGTACGTGCTGAAGTGCATGCGTATTCAGCATAGAATGCGCACATGGTTGAGCAATGGCGGATTTATCGAAAGTGTTGTCGCTGAACCAAGAAAGAGTGAATAGTATGGAGTCTAAGACGCTAAAAACACGTACAAAGGTAAACACAGTTCGGGATAGACCCGCGGTCCGCGAACTTTATGAGAGGCCAATTTACGAGCGAACTATTATGAGTGAACGTTCTATCGAGGGTTATGCAATATCAAATCAGCTATTTACTGTTAAGCTACGTAGACTGGTCTGGTCGCAAAAAAAAAAAAACAAAAACAATCCTTCTTTTCAAAGAAGAAGATCAGTGTAACCTACTAATGTTATGGAAAGAAAATAAAATCCAGACAAAGAAGAAAACGTAACGCAATCCCGCAGTAAGCTTTTGGTATCAAGTGTAAAACTAGTGAGTTCCATATGATAAATGGAGTGTCCGTGGATGCTCTCTTCTTGTCGATCTCAAGTGATTTAGATGAAACGATCACTTAGGTGACGAAAACTGATGCTTTTATAACATAAGTGTATTTTGCAGATTCATGTGAGTCACGAAAACAATATAAACAATATAACTGGAACTAATGGAAATGTGGCCACGAGAAACGAGCTACAGGCTAAGATTTCTTGACCAAAGATTTTACAAAAATTCACCGCAAATACTACCAACTACAAGTTACCTGGTTATTACTGTAATTGGTCAGGAAAAATGCAAATTAATTTATCTGTCTTTTCACGCCATTTCTTTAAAAATTTTAAACAATTAACTCACTGCAATTCATATCCATTTATTGAAGCTGTAAAATAATGATTACTAGAAAAAGGTCAGAATCAGTTTGGCATAAATTAAGTGCCAGACTATCCAGATCAAGGCTCACGTAAAACCATAAGCAAAGGGGCTGATTCAATTTCCTTAATTTTATTATTTACACTATCTAAATATCACAAAAAGTTTATAAACAGTTTATAGTCTCTAGGTTTCATCTACCTTAAGTTTGTAACGAATTAGCTGTTTCTAGAAAGTCAGAAAAACAAATCTACGCCATTCCATATTTTTTAAAGAGGTCCTTCATGATCATTTGCAGTTCAATTCAGGAATCATATGTGGTCTGTCATCGTTGACAGAGCTGTGCAATATTAGCACCACCTAGTTATGCATCATAATATTTGATGAGGCTCTTCTTCGGGAAGGAAGCTTTTGGAAATGTTTGCTCTCAGATGCGATGCTTTAGGACACGACTGCGGCGCATAATCGGAGGCTGCGCTCAATCGAGAAGGTGCAACAGTTACATCGTTTGAAAAAGGAGTTCTGGAAATTGCCCTTGTGCAACTCCAGTTCCATTTCTGTCCTCGGAACTTTCTGCAAAACTGAATTTGATCCCAGAACAAGCCACAACCTTTTGACCATTTCGACCAAAACAGGAATTCGCACCACAAATAGAAGCTTCGATACGATGTTTTATTCCCTGTTTAATAACTATTGGATCGTCAAAGAAAATTCTGAAGCCATGAAAGGAATGCAATTCTTCTACAATGAGCAGGGATGGAAATTTCCCGGATACAGAATTAAGATATACACCGCTAACGTCAAGTTTCTTTATGCGGATATTCACAAAATATTCATTGTTTTCACTTCCGCATAACGTTATTCCAAGTAACAAAATGTTTTCGTCAACTGTGAAAACAAGACAGTCTTGCTTACCAGGAAAATAAGAATAGCTTGAGTCAACATTGTCCAAATTTCCAAATCTGCAGCAAGCAAAAGAAGATAGCCTTTTATTTACAGGAAATCCTACTGGAGAGCTTAGCTCTGAATTCAAATACTTCACAACATCACAGACTTCGTCTTGTGTGAGTATCTTGGTGTCGAGAACAACAACAGCGAAGTCCTGTTGCTTCATGGCTGGGAAACGGATTGCTTTTACGATATTCTCTCCAAGAATTTTCCTTTTTACGCTGCCATCTGCAGTCAAGCCTTCTTCTTTGCATTTCTTTGTTGCCCACAAATCCAGAGCTTTGAACAACTCTACCTCTTTAATATTCAGTGTGTCGCGTTTGATTACTTCTTCAATTAAAGATCTTTCAAGTGTCGCAAATCTATCTGATTTTAAAGCCTCTTCGCAGTGTTCATCGATTACTTTCCAACATCGTTTCACCAGCTTTTTCTCATCGAACTGATGAGCTATAGGCAAAATGCTAAAAACATTTGACGCATCCAGCTTATCTTGTAGATAATCGGTACATTTATCAGCCAGTGAAGGCACCATATACTTCTTCGCCAAATATAACACTCCCATCACATTACTTCCGTTCAAATTTACTTCATCGCTGTACATGTAACGAAACAACTCCAACAGACTCTCGTAGTCACAGTCAGGCAGTTCAATAGAGTCTTTAGTCTCCGCCAACTCACCGTAAAACATGACTTCAAACACAGGACTGCTGATCGACAGAACAAACTTGTGAGCAGGAATTACACATTTCCTTTCGCTTTCACCGTCCATCTTCCTAACAACGAACTTCACATCGCTGAAGCGGTCGTTGTTGAACATGAACTTGGCTCTTTCCCTGATGGTTGGTCGTGTTGTTTGCCAATCTTCTTCGACGAGAGACATGAATTCTGACTGTACGTGGTACTAAAAGCAGAGACAGTTAACTTCAGACTGCGAGGGCGTGCAACTGATAAGCTACTGATAAATAAGCGGCAGATATATAAGACATTTGAATGTGCGATTACATTTCACATTTTTGAACTTGTCACCCACTTTGGTTTCGTGACCCAGTTTCTCTTTTACGGGTAAGTCTCCCTTTAAGGCTTTAAGAGTAATTTTTTAGAACCTTGTAAAAAAAAAATTTCAGAAAACGTTCCACCTAAAAAGATTTCATTAAGTGTAAATAACAAATGGTTCTGATCGAGTAGGTATGTAAGTCTAGTATCAGTATTATGACCATGACTGTCACGAAGGGGAATGGGGCATGTGCATGATTACAATATTTCGTGTTAAAAGCGAGAGTGATTGATTTTAATTTTGAACATTGATTCCTTCGACATAAACTCTTCGCTAAGTTCTTCAAGGAACTGGTTTTTTGAAAACACCAAATTTAACAACATATTTTCTAAGAGAGATGAAAGTTAAAGCATGAAGTAGACGCTAGTGACTACGCCGAAGTAAACAAATAAAATGAGCAAGAAGTGAGAAAAAGCTTTTGATGGAAATCCCAGTCAACTAAATTCTGTCGTTTTTAAATGAACAGTTTATTTCAAAGTACTGGGGTGCTTTCCAAGATGAGACATTGAATAGCAACCTGGTAACTGATTAATTAAACAAAACGAGTCGGTAATTACTGACATCTTTTATTTCCACTGGTAATAATGAGAAGGAAAAATAAAAAGACATAACAAGCCAACTGAGAACTGGTCATTATTTTGGGTCCAAATAAACCATCCAAGTGATGAATAATGATTGAAGGTATATAAAAATCAGTTGGCTTGTTAGCTCAGTTGGTAGAGCGCTGCACCGGTATCGCAGAGGTCATGGGTTCAAATCCCGTACGGGCCTGAATTTTTTTTCAACTACTGAGTTAAGTGGTGTTCATAGCTGCGAGGATCTCTTACATTCGTAGATTATCACGACATTGATAATATGTTTCGAGCTCTTTTTGAGCGAAAGTAAGTATGCTGAAGACATTAATAGCATCTAAATTTTCTCATAAAAATTGCCCGCACCCATCAACCAGTAAGGGCACCATCTATTTCTTCGCTAAATACAACACTCCCATCACATTACTTCCGCTCATGATCAAGTCCACTTCATCGCTGTACGTGTAACGAAACAACTCCAACAGACTCTCGTACTCACAGTCAGGCAGGTCAGCAGAGTCTTTTGTCTCCGTCAACTCACCGTAAAACATAGTTTCAACATGAGGCTATGTTGAACACAAGACTAACATTAATCACTTTACAGTGAATAGAAATAGAAATTCTGGAAATTATCCTCTTTCTACTCTCGTTCCAGTGCTACTCTCAGAACTGTTATCAAATATAAAACTAACATCCGAGTGAAAAACGACAGTCTCTCTACCCTTTTGAGCGGAATAAGAATTAGCCCCAGAAACAGAAGCTTCAACACGGTGTAATTGCTGCTTTGGAATAACGATTGGATTAGAAAATAAAATTTAAAAACCTAACCGAATGAAATTCCGAAAGTATCCCTAGGACTCACTTTGTTTATCAGGAAAAATAAGAATCATTCATTCAAGCTGAGCTTGAGTCAACATTGTCCAAATTTCCAAATCTGCAACGTGCATAGCCTTTTATTGACAGGAAATCCTACTGGAGAGCCTAGCACTGAATTCAAATACTTCACAACATCACAGACTTCGTCTTGGTTCTCGTGAATTAAACGTGAAGACTGAAAGTGATCGAGGTTCTTGACTATACAGCATTCCTTCTGCGGGTCAGTAACACGCAGCTTGGAATGAGTTAGAAGCGCAAGTCATATACTGCAAATTTATATATCACTTCAACGAAAAGAATGCGTGACAAGGCAATCACAAGAATTGAACCCTCCCATTGGGTGCTGTTTTGGTTTCTTCTGCCGAGCTTTGAATGACTGACGCTTGTTCAGATGACAGAGGGTGAGGGAGATTTCGTGATCACAGGTTATGACAAGCATTTATGATAAATAAGATATGGTTCTGCATGATCGAGGAGGTCTCCAAGTCTAAAGTCATTTCCGCGCCGGCATGTTAACTCTCTGACCGTCACGAGAAGAAGAGGGAATGCATTGGGCATGTACGAGACAGTCTCGCAACCAGACCTCTAGCAAGGCAGTGCAACTGTAGGTGTTTGGGACCTTTAAGATACGTTGCATAGAGATAAACCCTCCGTCAATTAGCGTTTACATACTTGCTTGAATTTTAACATCCTAAATAATTGGAACCATGCAGAGTCACTAAGACACATGGGCTGCTCAACAGATCATTTGGCAAACGCAGCGGAGAGAATTCTAGGCCGACACTAAAGATCAAAGAAGCGACAATTGCCGTAGATACAAGCAAAGAATACACATCACTCAAGTAAAAATTATCTGAGAAGGTATATTTTTGCGGGAGTCGATGAAGTGGAATAATGTTTTAAGACCGTGACTTTCGCGAGAACCCTCTAAGCTCAGAGAAAAAATCTGTTGACATTCTTCAACTTTCTCAAAGTATTAATATTTGTTAACTTAGATATTTTGGAGGTGTCTCCAACAATACCTGAATAGTTGAGGAAAGGCCTAAGCAACTGAAGAACAAAGAGTAAAGCTTGAGATTAGAAACGTCATGATAAGTGAAGAGGAGAAAAGCTACCTGAAAGTACAAAAATGGGATCAATATCAGTATCTGGGCGAATGCCCACCTACCCCTCCCCTAACCCAACATTAACCCTAAATTGTTGTCAATTGACTGTTGTTGGGTTAGGGGAGGGGTAGGTGGGCAGTTGCCCAGATACCGATATTGATCCCAAAAATGTATCACTCGAACACCAAAACATCCTTAGTATGGCCGGATTAAGATATTTCAGGGGTAAAAATTATTTCACCACAAACCATTTTGTTTTTTTTATTTACAGTGTTCTCTCTGTACACCAGTTACAATCTATAATCAAGAAAAAACCGCAAACCGGCAACTGACAAAATGTGAACTGGTAAAATTTGAGTGGACGTTCTGTTGGGATTTTGGTGGTGAAATTAAGGATAAAAGAATTAGAAGTCACTGCCTCTTTCGCGGACAGTTTTCAATTGCTCCTTGAAGAAAATATCTAAATCATGCGATTGGATGCGCTAAAATCGATTTCCTATCCACCCCACCCTCTGCATTAAGGAGCTCCTGTCATTACAGCTGGATTTCTTATGGTACATAAATTTCTTATGATTAATTTACTCATCCCGTCATTTGCTGACTTAATAACAAGCTAGAGTTTTGTTCATCATTTGAAGTTTCTAGTTTGAGCCAATCGAGGGCATTATTTAAAATGACAATCTTAACCAGTATCGCATCAGGGAGTTTAACATGAACATATCAGAGAGCCTCAGTTAATGGCATCTCCTCTCCTCGTTTGATATGAGATACCCCACTTTTGTTTCTATCTGAGCCAATGATATTGATGGAAGACAAGAGGATTGATAAAATATTTCTACCTATGTTTTTTAATTAAATTCTTTTAAACTTTCTTCATTTGAACCTATACTCGCTTTCTTCTAATCCATTCCGAACAAAGAGAAAGATTCCCCTCTTAGATTAGCCTTTTTACAAGAGGGCAGTGACAAAAATGTTAATAATCTACTTCACAAAACTAATCCTAGAGCCGGCAATTCTTCATGCGTATACGTTACGACGAACGCCGCTGAAGTTTCCTCGTTGTGTAGCAGGACAGCGATCCCCCATCACCGATAGAAATATCGTCCAATTTACAAGAGCAAGTCTTTTAAAAACCCTATGTTTGTTTTTTATTTCTTTGTTTTTCCTCACCGAAGTTGTTCAGTCCGTACCAACGCGTGCAGCCCTGTTTACTGGCTGAGTTCTCTTCCTAATTCATTGTCCGTGGACTTCGTGCATGTGTTCAGCGAACCTGTACAACAGAGGAAAAAGTAAAAGAGGTCAAGTTTTAGGTAAAGCGCAGTTTTGTAAATGACTTCAAGTAGTAGTTTTGTAAATGACTTCTTGTAAATGATGTTCAAGAGTGCATCTTTAAGAATTTTTTCGTGATTTCTAACAACTTTTTATTTCCTTCGGAAGTTCAGCGAGCTAAGGCAGCGCTGAGCATAACTTGTCCTTAGCGTTCTTCTTGCGTTTGCCTCGCATTTTTTCGCGATTATCTCGCGTTTGCCTCGTGATTCTCTCGCGCTTACCTCAGCTCGCCCGAATACGCACATTTGTTCTGACTAAACTCGAACCTGTCCTGTAGGTTCTGCAAACTGATGTTACTTACCTTTTGGCGCACTCAGACGCAATGTCACGCTTACAAGATTCTGTGTACGCAAGCTTGTAAAGAACCTGATTAAGAGAAACAAATTAGAGTTTGTATCTCAACTAAATTAATAGCTTTATGAACAATTTTTACGAAAGAATTTCTGAGCACTCGATCATCAAAACTACCTCTGCATAGCAGGTCAAGGTGGAGGAAACCAAAAGGGTAAGATTGAACTTGTTCGGAATTAATACGATTAAGAATGGAGGGATTTACAGAGGAACTTGACGAAAGATTTTTTCCACAGAAACAAAAACAGACCAAAAGCTCTTGAAAAAGTTTACTCACTGTGGGCTGCACTACTTACCAGAAATATCATTAAGTGTACAAGCAATGTGTAGAAAAATACGAAGGTTCTGGCAAATTTGTTTGACATGATAAACCGACCCTGGAAAATGAACAGCAAAAGTATTTTAGAAAGCTAAGTGCACTTTGCTAGGAGATGAAAACACAACTGTGGGGAAGGAGAAACCTAAAAAACAGAAAACAAAAAACAGCGAGGGAGATGGCCATGGGAGAGATCGCAGCGCTGGATTAAAGGGTTCTTAAAGAAGGCTTTGATAATTCCCTCCTTATCGGAAGGAGCAAGGGAACTGTGTTTCCCATTAAATGAAGAATCAAAGGAGCTTCTCAGCGTCAATCAGACTTCATGGGTGTCTTGCATAAAGTACCGTACAATAATAATTTCATAGACACCCTCTTGTTGACAACACGCTAGACTCCAGTTAGACACCTAGGGGAAGGTAGGCATTGACAGAGAAAAAAGGTGCCGACCGAGAACATGAGACAAATGGCTGAATTTGAAAATAATTTTCCACTTACCAGGTTAAGAGTAACTTTTTCATGCGGACTAAGCCCCAGGTATCGCTGTTGTTTCTCCTAAATGGAATTAAACAGGCCCTCTTAATCAGTTTTTTAAATAAAACACCAAATTTAGGGAATGCTTAGAAGTTTAAAGTATAAGAAACTAACAATAATTTCACACAAAACTACTGATCCACAGAATACGCAACATCAGTTTAAACCAGGCCTCTGGTTGAAGTATCGTTTCATGATAAAGTATTACATATAGCATGACCTAAGCCAACACGATATGTGGCCTCTGTCACGCAACTCCACACCAGAAACATCGTTTCCATTTAAGAAGCACTGGGTGGCAGAAAAGGTGCTATACAGCGTTTAACCAAAGCTGCTATTAAAACCAGTTGCCGTGCAACTTACCCGTTGATTAAAGGCTGAAAATGGATCCAATCTTTGTTCATATTGTGACGAGTATCTGCTGACTGTTGCTTCTTCTTCTCGGCCCCCTGAGCTCTAACGAAAAGCACAACCAAGAAACGATCATACACCGGAAAACAGGGTTGTGCTCAAGCCGAGCACTTATTACTTAACTGGTGCAAAGTGCCCCCCACTGGAAAGAGAAGGGCACTCCACATTTGTGTGACAAGATTCTTTAAGCAACCAGTGATTTGTTTGCGAGCAAGATTTTGGAAAGCTCGCAACAAATAAATCTTCTTGTTCTCTGCATGCTTTAAAAACCACGCATAAGGAAAGCAAAATCCAAGAACAGCGTGCCGGTCTGCTATAGACCCAAAGAGAAATTAGGGAGCAAGTCATACCTTGTTTGAAATGAAATGAGAAGTGTCGAGTGTTCTCAAGTATTACCGGCTCTCGAAGGGCACATTTGGATGGGGCTCACAAGACAAATGCTTGGTTTGAGTTTAGTATCAATCGAAGTAACAAGGTTACCTTCGTTGGGTAGCTTTGAAGGAACTTGATTTTCTCGTACAACTTCACGTTATCTGACCTCAAGGTGTCCACTTCATTTTGCAACACACTGATCTGTTGCTGGTTATGGCGTAGTTGCTGAAAGACCAGACGGAAACTTTTGTTAATAATTTTGTACAGCTAATTCAAGGATTTGGTTTAGGTTTCGTGCAAAAAAATATTAAAGATGGGAGTTAGCTATCAAAATATAAACAGCAACGCCTCTGTCGCGCCGATCGTGAACGAAGAGATGGTGATAGCTTAACCCTTTACACCCTCACATCAGTATGTATATTCTCCATACCCTATTCTATACATTTCCTACGGTGCTGACAAGGAGAATTTGTTCAACAATCAAGAGCTTCTTCAACCGCTGATCATCTACTTTATTCTCGTGACCTTAATGTGTGATTTGTGGGTAATGTTGTGAGGAGAAATTAGATGCTAATCACTCTTAGGGGTTAAAAGATTAACAAAAGCCATATGATCATTAACAACAACAACAACAACAACAGCAAAGACGTTTACAATTCCTCAATAGCTCACCGCTTCTAATTCCATATTACGGATTTTAAATCTTTCTCTCTGGCTGGCCACGATAGGAAGAAGGGATTCCGTTGCTACATTCTCACTGGTTACACCTACGATGGAAACAAATAAACAAAAAAAAATAAAAATAAACGAACTATGAAATTTAGATCAATCCTTTGTACTTGAATGTAGACTTATAGACTAGAATGTAGACTTATAATTTAATAAGCAGGTTCGAGATGCCTTCATTCTACTTCAACAACAGCAACACTGACAACAACCAAAGCAACAATAAGAACACTGGTTTTCAGATTTATAAATCCTTCTAAAGTACCTAAAGAAAAACACTTCATGTTCACCATTTTCAGGTGCAAAAATAACTGAACAAAACTATACTGATCACGAGCTTTCGCGAACCTGCTTTCTTAATTGCCGTTTAGAACTAGGTTTGCATAATAAAACTTTATTCTCAAAGTGAAGCAAAACATGATACCTGCCGGTGCTACAGCCTGCTGAACTGCATTAGATACAAGTTCTGTCTCAGTAGGAGGCCCTGCCTCACCCTGTAAATTACATAACGACAATTACGAAATATAAGTATGGTACAAATGAGGGGTGAGAACCTACAGTGCAGGCTTCTTATTTTAACGTTACAAGCTCACGATAGTTTATTCTACTGACCATGTTTGATTTAGTGTTAGAGTGGACGGTGGGGGGAGGGGGCAGGAAATGCGAGAAGTAATTTCTATTGCTCCACCCCTCCCCTCTCCTTCCTTTTGCCTACCCCCTTGGTACTGATTTCTTCCTCTACCCAGCCTTCCACTGTTGGAAAAATCAAGATGGCAGCAATGATTTTCACCGAGAAACTACTGAGCATTCGCTCATCAAAAGATACACCTGTTCTGCAAGCTTCTGATATGATAAATGTTACCATACAGCATTCGCTCATCAAAAGATACACCTGTTCTTCTAGCTTCTGATATGATATCATCACGTCTCTGTCACACTTGCTTCTTGATAGTTCTTTAAGCTAGACCAGGTTAAGTTTTTTTTCTCACATTTAATGTTTGCTCTTACCTCTCCCTGACCACGGAATGCTGATGGAAGAGCGTTCACACTCAGGAGATCCGTTTCTAGCTGAGTAATGAGCTCCTTCTGTTCCTTCACTGTGTTCACCGCTTCGTTGTATTGTACATGAAGTTCAGAATAACGACCTGAGAAGGAAAACATGCAAAAATAGAAATTAGGCCCTGAACCCAACTCTACAAAGCTGAGAGCAGTATGTAACTGCTTGTCCATGAGTAGATCTGCGTTCGCTTTATTCCTCCCAGTACAGACTACGAGTGGAACGAGGTAAAGACCTCCCAAATCACCCCCCAAAAAAAAACAGCAGTACAAATCACTTTTTTCAAACATCTGATAATTAAATAAATCTTGATTTTCCCTTTCTCTTGGATTAACGTATTGCAGATAGCCTTTGACCAACCGTTGATAAGAGAGATGAGAAAAGGGAACTGAGTCAGGAAAGGCGATGCTTCAGTTATTAAATGCATGTAATGTTAAAACATACCTGTCAAATCGACGTTTTCAACCTTTAAACTTGTGTTTTCAGATTGAAGTCCTGACAACGATAATGAAGGTAGGATTAATACAAAGTGTGAACTTCAACTCAATTAATCGTGAGTGCCTATCAACTGCTAACGGATAAAAGTTCATCTTTAAGAGAAATGTACAAGTATAATGACAGAGCAAAAATATTTTTTTCAATTGTACAAGCAGTTACATACTTTTATTCTTATCAAGAAGAAGCATCTCTAGAGATTTCGGAGTGGAGTCCTGAAACAAACAAATTAATAATTGTGTGGTGAGTACTTGCAGAAATAGCATCCACAAGACAATTAATACCTATTTTAAGAGTTTGGCTCCAATAGTATGTGAACCTTTTCAATGCCACATATAGCGAGGAACTGAATTCTCGTTATGACAACATTTTACAGCGCTGCAACTAGGTAAAGAAATCAAAGCAGCATGTTGAAAGTGTTTGAGCGGATAGGTCTACTTTTAACAGAATCACAACAAAAAAAAGTGAGACAGATAAGTCATGTTGCAAGATCCATGCAAAATTAGTTCTAACATGAAGATATTTGGTTGTACAAACACAAGAGATTGCAAACAAACCATCTTTTCCGCATCTCTGCTCTCCTCGCTTGTTGAGAACTCAATTGATTTCAAAATGCTGAATAAACAAAACAATTAAAATACATCAGCACACACAAAAGTCAAAACAACAGTAAATATTTTTGTACTGATAAACTGTCATTGCTATACAGCACTGTTTTCAAGGGATTCTGCTGGAAAGGAAAAATCATCTTTATGTAACATCTTTAGAAAGTGGCGGGTAAAATCTTCTGCTACAGCCTGAGAAGCTTGGGGGTAACTCCAACACTAGGAGGAAAAATTGGAGACATTGACATGTCGCAAATCTTTCATCATACAACTTACTTCAGTTCTCTCTTGATCTCTTCATAGTTACCCTGTTCATCAAGTTTTTCCTCCTGGAAACAATGTAATATCAAGTTAGCAGAACAATGCCATGTTAATCCTGTTCAGAATCAATTATAATCAGTGGCTTTTTTAACCCTTGTTTATTCATCTTAAAACAATGTGTACCTTGCACTCAAATCTAATAGATGAACTTAGGCTCCGGCTAGATATACATGTAACTGAAGTTTTTCTAGTACAGTGTATTTCCCCCTTTTTCTGTTAGGAGTCAGAGAACATTCAGAGTAATCATCGTTATTCATACCAATTGTTGGAGGGCTTTTGTCTTGCTAGCAAGTTGGTCTTCTAGTCTGGCAATCTGTAGAGAAAAAAAAGAATTTCACAAAAAGATGAAGCTAAGATACGAACAACAAGAACAATACACAATACAACTGCTTGTACTTACCAGAACCAGTAGTCCTTTCTAAAATTATTTTCATTAGAATACAATGCAAGCAGTGGTGGTATATCAATAAAACCACTTTTACTCTTTGCATTACTGCAGGCTAGTAGGAAAAGGCCTATAGATGTTGGTAAAACTTACCTCATTTGCAGTTGATTCTTTTAATCTGTTCTGTATCACTTGTGATTGTTGTACATCACTCACTAACTGAGATATCTGCAGAGGAAATAATACAATTTTGAAGGTGCATATTTACATTTACATCCATCGAATTTTACACTAAGTTTTAGGAATGAAGTTTCATGGCTTTTTTTGCCTCTGTATATATTGCTATTTTCCACTCCCTGTGTTCCATATTAAATTTTACAGATGATTACTAAATAATCGAGTACCTGTCTCTCCTTGGCTGCTAACTCATGTTCCAAGCTTGAACGTGAAATTGCATCAATGGTCTCAGACTGCAGTTTTTGAAGTAAACAGAAGAGAAATGAAAAGAAGGCTTGCTGACAACCGGCATATATGTTGCAAATACAGTTTTATTACATAACTAACATTACTGAACAAATGACTGTGAAAATACATTGTTTGTCCAACAAGAGATAAGAACAATAGTTAACTTCAAAATGGAGGGCAACAAATGGCTTCCAATCTTTGAAATGTGTCAGTCAGTAAAAAAATCTAAGTACGTATGGAATAAAAACATCATACCAAGGAAAGTGCTTGAACAATAGCATTTTTATTCACTCATTGAGATGCATCAATAAACTCACTCATTCATTTTTTTATGCATGGCAACTCATGAATAAATCAATAATGTGCACACATCATTTCGTGTGTACTTTCCTTGGAATAATCTCTATTTAATCTAGGTTCTTGTTAATTCACAAGTTACATTGAAACTTCACATTTGCAGGAAAAGATGTACAAGTAACATACAGAAAGTGAAGAAAAAAGTGAAGAAACATAATAACTCACCATGTTTGGCCTTTGTTCATTGCCTGAATTCTAAAATACAAATATCATAAGGGTAAAAGTAATTTAGAAATTGTCCAAACCCTTTTAACAAAGGATGAATCATACAGTGGTGTCTAATAGATAAACTCTGTTAAAAGGAATTACAATAAGAAATGGTCACACATCCCAACAAACCTGTAGGGCATTCTGTGCTGCTATAAGCTCTTCTCGCAGAGATTCAACTTGCCTCTCAGCACTCAATGCTCTCTAGAAAAAAAGTAAGAAAAACGAGTAGAAGTACTCTTTGATCCTTTAAACCCTACGAGTGACCAACATCTATTATTTCTCCTTACAGTAATATTGTTAAACCATTCATTAAGAGAATAAAGGAAATGATTGCCAACCTAAGAAGCATTGATCTTCAAATGAATTCTCGTTGTCAGTACCAAAAGAAACATACGGTGAAGAGAACGGAGAATATGGATACTGATGTTAGGGTGTAAAGGGTTAAATTACTGGGTAACAGTTTTCTTTCATCAAAAAAAAAAAAAAAATGAAAATGGAGAAGAAAAAAATTGTTTAAAAGGGGAAGGTTTGTATTGGCCATTTAAATGAAAGTAAATTTGTTGGAAGCACAATTACCTGACTGTACCACTATATTCAGGATTTGGAAGAATAAGAAAATGTAACAGATGTTATAATTTTTTAAGCAACACAGGATAAATGCTTGTCAGCCTTTAAGCAACTTAACCCAGGAGTACAGTTCAGCACACATTATCAATCAAGCTCTCTTCATACCATTTCATAAGACACACACAATATTTCATTGTCCAGAGATGAACAAATGTGTGCTAAATTCAATGTGATAAAATACAATTTTGTAATCATTTGTGTGCCAAACCTTTATTTTTAATTCAAAACATCAAGACCTTAAATAGGTACATGTCTAATTAAGGATAAAGTGTTACCTGATTTGCTCTTTCTACATCAGCTTCTAGTATTTCAATTTCTGAAGACCTTGTTGGGGAAAGAGACCTGTGTTAATGAAATCTTTTCACTGGACGGACTGAGTGACTGACTATCTGACTGACTGTCTACCTGATTCTTAAGAAACTGTGCTGCATCAGTGAGGGAGTGCCACAAGATCAACAGAGTTGACATTGTAAATTGGCCACAGAAAAGAGTTTCTAAGCTGACATTTTGTCAAAACATCAGGATAGAAACTCTTGACTGTGGCCAATTTACAGTTGTATCAACTCTATCTTAGAACTGAATGACTCACTCTTACTGACTGATTGACTGACCAAAACAATGAGAGCTCAAGCTTCACAAACATACCAAGATAAAAACCAAATTGAGACAAAAATGTGGTATCATGTTGGTGTCTCTTTTATGAGCAAAACTATAGTTCAGGATCCTAATACTCAAACCTATATATCACACAGGTGAATGGTGTTTTTCACAAACACGGATTGGCTGGTTTGAAAGTGATTAGCAAGTACCATAATTATTTAAACTTGTGTATAAGCTGTACCCCCTACTTTCAAGCATTTTTTGGAAAAAAAAAACTCCAAAAAAGCACTCTAAGCCTTATAAGAAAAGTTGGTCATTTGTTCACAGATGTTCACAATAAACTTCACAAAATCTAATGTTGTGTATTTGGTGCCACATTAATAAGTTAATCAACTTTGAAAATAGTCCTTTTAAAAGCTTTTCTTTAATCAATTTCTCTATTCCCAGTGACTGACGACAGTTGTCTTCATTGCCAAAGCCCACAACTCAAATGAAAATGATGGAATTTGAACAAAAAAAAAAAGCGCAGAAGGACAATGCAAAACATTTGCTCGGTAACCATGTGGGAAGTCTGGACACGAGAGACAAATTATGGTCTCATGTATAAGCCACGCCCATGATTTTTGGCCCAAAAATTTAGCAAAAAGGTGTAGCTTATACACGAGTCTTTATGGTACCATTCACCTCTGAGCAGCCGAAGAGACAAAATCACATTTCATCCAATCAATTTCTGACCATTTTTAGGTATATTGACAAAAATATCTTTTTGGTTTCTGTGTGGTACATACAAAAACAAGTATTCCCCTCAGTGTCCATGAAAGTGGTTGATATCTAAGTGTACCTCACCACTTCGCAACTCAGAAATATCCACCACTATTCACCTCCACTTCAATGAATTGTTCTTCACTTTAACAAAAATTGTAAGCCATTTATCAACAATTCTTATATACTTTACAAAGAAAATTTCCTACCACATTTTTAGTCACTTTTTGAAAAAGACTGAAAGCCAAAATTTATGTCAGGTCTAAAATAGAGTACCTTGCAGCAGCAACTTCGTCAAACTTGGCTTTCACATCAAACAGTTCTGACTGAGTACTATCCAATGCTACAAGAAAGTTATTAACAGATCACCATTTCAACTGGTGTGATTTATCTTTATCTATTTATCTTTGTAGGGTTTTGCTGTCTGGTTTACATTGTAGAAGACCAAGAGAGGAGACCTTTTTCTGAACCAACACCAAGAGATTACTTACCAGCCTGGAGAGTTGCAGCTTTATGCTCAGCTTCACCAAGTTTCTTTGCAACAGAAACCTGAGTTTCTTGCAAGGTCCTTTCTTTGTCAGAAAACATCTTCTGCATGTCTTTTTCCTTCTCCTTAGCTCTTGCCTGCACACCAAAAACAATTTGTATTATAATTTAACTTTGGAGCTCTGTGATTCTTAATGTTAAGTATGAATTGACTGACAAAACTGACAAAACTAACAAAAATGTCAAATAGAGACACAATAGTACTAAACAAATGAAAATCATTTAATTTTTTAAACCTGAACTCTTTCTTCCATCTTGTCCTCATACTCTCTCAGTTTTTCCTTTAGTCTGTTTATAGTTACCTCTGAAAAGCAAACAAAAGCAAACAAGAAAATCAAACAAAATGTGCAAAAAATAGTTCTCACTCAGAAAGGTGACATGACTACATGTGCAAAGTAGAAATACCTTGATTTTTCACTTCTGCAAATTCTGAGTTATATTCTTCGAGGGTTTCCCTGAGTTGTTTATTTTCAATTTCATAATCCTGAAAATGAGATTAGTTACATAAATAACTGTTTTACACAATCACATGAATCAAATTGTGTAGATTCTGGTTACTCAGAGGCAAAGCAAGTAGTGGCCATTTCTTTATGAAAAGCACTAAAACAAAAAACAAGTTGACTTAATTAACTCTTAAAAAAAAAAATTCCCAGATTAGATAGTTCAAGACATTTTGAATCCGTTCCTTTGTTAGCTACCTGTGACTAATGGTTTTTTGAATGGATTTAATTGGCATCAAACCAATATCAGAACTAGTTTTACCTGAAGTTTGGATACTTTTTGTTGCTGAATAACAGCCTGTTCAAGTATTGGTAAAGGATCTGCAAAGAAAAATTATTTATGTTACTAACTGACATCAAATACAGCCACACTATTAGATATTTGTAACATACACATGGATACAGAAAGTTCTCATCAATTTACTTCAATGGTTGCAGAAAATTCTTATCCATACTTAAAATGGTTACAGGAATTAAGTATCCAGTTACTTCAAACTTATAAATATTTGTACTAATAGTTCCTACCTGGGACATCCACAAGTTTCTTGTAGATTGAGAGAAAAGCAGTTTCTGATGCTTTGCTCCTTTTTGAAAGAGCATCAATCTGAAAGAACAGTTATGTGGTACAAAATAAATTGTTAATAATTGTTTATTAAGTAAATCTGGACAGTGTGCCAAATGACTTAAACATTGCAATACCATTGACGTCAAATTTCTGTCAAGAGTTAATACTATTACTCATAAAAATCTATAGTTTCAAATTGTCAAATAGTTACATCTTCACCAGTAACAGGCCAGCCCCCTTCACATTATCAGTCCATTGCCAAAACTGATAACTATTGTATTGCCTGCTTTAAATGAATTAAATTAAACTTTCTTGTTTCAAGAACAAGGTTTTTGTCAAATTTTCCAGTGCAACAAGTGGGGTGTAACATAACCTTTTCATTACAAAATTATTTTATTTCTCCAACACCTTTCCTCACTTCTTTTAAATAATTACATCTAATATCAAAATATTGTTCTATTGAAGAATTTGAGCCAAAGAAATTAGGATAATTCATGCAAAACCAAAGTGAATTCAGAGTAAAAAATAACAACCTCAGCTTGAAAGCTCTTCAAGAGTGGTGCCATCTTTTTCCTGGTATCCTGAAAAGATAAAAATCACAGATCAATAATCTATTGAAACAGATAGTTCCATATCTCATCAGTGATCTCATGAATGGTAGTAAGAAAGATATGATTTTTTTCATATTTCACTGAGCACTATATTCTTAACCGTAATCAGAGTTCTTGTTCCAGTTGCACATTTAGCATTTTATTCGGGAAAGATTCCCGCTTAACCCTAGAGTATTCTAGAATAAAGCCCTAGTCTCAAAACCAATCTCAACTTGCTTCTTGGAGTTGTTTTCTTTATCCAAGAACCATATGCAAAATGAACTATGAGGCTGTACAGAAATCTTTTTTTCTATTTCCCCATTTCTCGTGATCACTTAATTTACCATCGTGTCAAATAAATTTTTGGTAAGGTCATTGTCAGGTTTCCTTGTAAAAAAGTTGGAATCATAATTTTATAAGGCGTGTAAATCAAAGTACATCACCACGAACAAAATCTCCTCGTTTCACGCATGAGAACACATGCATTGTTTGATTTCGAAAAAATCTATTACCAGCTCAATAAAAAGTAAACAGGTATATTATCACTCGACATGTACATGCAGTTTAATTTCAATTAAAAAGCAAACATTTAACGATGTGTTCATGCAATCATTACCTCCGGAGTATTCTTTTTAAAATCACGACTGAGCTCAACGAGCTTTTTTCTCGATGTGTCTGATTCATCTTGGCGATCTGCTAGCTCTGCTGCAGTTGTGTCTAAGGATTTCTAACAACGTAAGGAAATTCCCATGTAATTGAACCTTCAAAAGTTTATTTACAAGTAACGAATTACAAATAGCTTACGCGTTGATTACAACAACAGAGAGACATTTATACAATTAAAAAGAAATTGTTTTAAATAGTTATTCTCTTTCATTCTCACCTGAAGATCTGGAAGAGAAAATTCTTTCCAAAAATTTCTCATAGACTGGAACGAAGAAGCCGCCATGTTTGTTTATCGCCAACTTGGCGTCATGCGCAATGCGGAAAACGTCTAAAAATAAAACCGGACCTGCAATTGGTTTATAAGTTGAACCAATCAGGAAGAATCTCTCATTCGTGGTGATCATTCGCGGGAAGAAGAAATATGGCGGCAACAGCAGATTATTTTCCGAAAAGCCCAGATCCAATGTCTCGACACCGTTCGCAATACAAGTGCAGCACACCGCCCTGGAAAGAACAGTATAGAAAGGTACGATGATATTTACGTCTTCCAATGACGATGTTTGTGATATTTTCAAGCCAGTTTTCACTTCTTTTCGATTTCATATCCCCGGTGCGTGACTTTAATAAATGTCTCTTAGTTTTTAGAGTTAGTTTTTATCGGTTTTCGCTCTTGTGATCGTAGCGCACGAAAACTTAGTTCTTTTTTTATAATCTTCAGCAACGTTACTTAAGTTACATTTGTGTCGCCATAGTTTTATGAGTTCACACTGTTTTGGAGAGGACCATTTAGCAAAACACAGAAGCTCGATAAAGAAGCGGGTGGGGTGGGGTGGGGGGGGGGGAATAGGAGTGCGTTGAGGGCTTCAAAAAGCCGAGAGATTCAATTATTTTAATTCCAATCTTCCCCCTAAGATGGCAGAAAAGCAAACTTTTATTGGTGCCTTCTGAAAAGTGAATGAGTGAGGCTGAATTTTTAGTCGGTCCTTATGAAAATATACCTGAAGTGTCCAACTTTTGTCACCCTCTTCTTTTGATAGATATTTAACCCTTTAACTCCCAAGATCTCATCTATAATTCTCCTTACTGTCTGCTATACAATTCTTCTGATGTAACTTCTGAGAATTTGGTATTGGATCAACTAATAATCCCCTAATTGTTAACTTTCTTGGTTCTCATCACTTGTCTTCTTGATTTTGTGTTGATATTGTAAGGAAAAATTCTGTCTTAGTCACTCATGGGAGTAACAGGATTAAATGACAAGAATTCTACTAACAACTCTATATGTCCTGTGTCTGTGTTACATCTGGATTCTTGCCAGCATTATGAATGCACTAAAAATCTGTTGTTAGTTCAAGCCTTTATTTAGATCTTTGTGTTTCACTTTTGGTTGAACTGGCATCTCTACTTGTTTTTAAAATCTCTTTAGAGGTGCTTGGACAGGCTCAAAAATGGGAGGCAGAAATTTGTGGAGAGATTTAGGCAAGCCAGTTGTGAGACAAATGACTCCTCTTTTGTTAATGAAGTGATGGATGAAGAATGGCGTAGGCTTAGTGAAGAAAATCAAGAACTTTCACCATGGCGTCCAACCAGAAGGTCATGCACACCATTTAAAGGGGTTAGTAAAACTAGTGCTAGGGAGATGTAATGGCTCAGTGGTACATGTTGGCCCAATAGTGCAGTTGGCCCAATGTGACATGTTGGCCCAATGGTGCATGTTGGCCCAATGGTACATGTTGGCCCAATGGTGCATGTTGGCCTAATCAGGCATGTTGGCCCAATCAGGTGTGTTGTTCCAATGGAGCATTTTGTGTTGAGAGGTTTGCATTCAAGACCTGGCTTTGCATTGTGTTCTTTGGCAAAACACTTTCACAGTGTTTCTCTCCATCCAGGAGTATACTGGCTTAGAGCATTGAACAGTCCACAAGTTCTATACATAAATGATGTGCTTTTAATACTTATAAGATCTTTTCAGTCAATATAGAAATTAGTTTAAACATGCTGGAGATATATCAATTAACTTGTATCATTTTTTCAATTTTATTTAAATCTTGAATCATTCATTCTCTCTCTCTTTAAGATTGAGTTAGATTGTTCGGAGGATACTTCGCTTGATGAGGTTCTGTCTTTACTGGATGAAATTCAAAAGGAACTGATGGATGAAGAAAGAAACATTCTTGCCCAGTATGAGGAAAATCTGAAGTTTGAGGAATCTTCTCTATGTGCAGCTATTGAAAGTCTTGGAACAGAGGATTCTGTCATTTGCCCAGTCTGCAAAAGGTTGGTGAACCCTTACCATACTTAATCGTTGGGTGACTAGCATCTGATTTCTCCTGACAATATCAATCCTGAATCAAACATTAATGTCACAAGAATAAAGGAAATAATCACCAACTAAAGAAGCTCTTGATTGTTGAACAAATTCTCTTTGTCAGCACTCCAGCACTGATGTTAGGGTGTAAAGCTTGAATTCAGGAAATGGAGTGTGATTTAAGGACTAAAACCAACAAGATGCCTTGCAAAAGTATTGTTGTCCTCCATGGGGGTTAAACTAAAGGTTAAAAGCTTGTAAGTGAGTATTCTCCATCTTGTTTTGTCCCCCCCCCCCCCCTCATCCTCTACCCCCACTCCATTACCCACCCAAGCTCTTTTATTTTGTTTTAGAATAGCCATATTGCTGTGCCTTTATTTCTCTGTCCTTTCCCAGTACTTCTTGAACCAATTTTCCATGATGGGAGCTTTGTTAATGAGAGCCCTCATTTTCTATGATTTTTGTTAGATTATCTTTCTTTTCTATCTTGGTAACAGAAATCCATTACATCAGAACAAACAGGTTGTCTTCTGTGCTTGTGGAATCAGAATTGATACTGAGGTGGGATTACTGTGATTTTTGAAGTTTGTTTAGTTTAACCCTTTCACTCCTATGAATGACTAGCATCTGATTTCTCCCTTCCTCCAAAAGATCTCACCTTTTTACAGATTGAATGAATCCAAACTTAGTCATTACGCTTTTGGCAGTTCTACATGGCTCCTGAAGTGAATACCCAAAGGAATAGTGGAATAAATTGAGCCTTCTGTGCACAAAATCCAGCGGTAACACCCATTTCTGAATGACACACTTAAATTGACATGAAGTTGTAATGCAATACCACCCCTGAATCTCAAATTAAGCTAGGTCATGAGAACAAAGGAAATAATCACCAATGAAAGAAGCTCTTGATTGTTGAACTAATTGCCTGGTGAGATATTAAAGAAAAATAGATTTCATGTTGCCATGTTTCTGTTCAGTGATAAACTTAAATGACATCAAACTGTTGTTAGCACAAAGTGGTGGCACACAAGGTGCATTGCTGATTTTCTTACAATATTCTGGCATCTTCATTGATCTATAATTGCATAGATCCACTGTGTGGTGAACTCTATTTGTTTATATAATAGAAAAGCAAAATGTTTATAATGGTAACATCATCTATGCATCTGATCTCCATATATCATCAGTAAGAACCAAACATAATTTTGCTTATCATACATAAGGAATTTTTCTTTGTGATCCTTTAGCATGACGCACTAAACCTGACCTATCTCAGAAACCAGATTGATGGGGCATTAACAATCCATGGGTAAGTTTTCAACTTGTGAGTTGTTCCATAGGAAACAATTTGCTACCTTACTTTACCAACTAAATGTTGCAGTGGGCCAGCATCTCTTCCAAGGGGGATTAGCATAGCTCCTGACTGCTTCATGCTACAGAAATTGGAATAAGCTCTAACTGGATGCACCAATAGGCCATTTCCGAATTACCTTTGGTTTCTTTTTTAGAGTGACTCCTGGTGCTCACCTTTTATATGATTATAAGTTTTCATTCACATGCAAATGAAATTCATTTTCATATGAGTGGTTGAGTGCCAAGCCTAGTTTTAAAAAGGAGGACAAAGGTAATTTGGAAATGGCCCTTGCAGATAATACTTTACTATTGCTGGTTTTGGAGAAGACAAATAGAGATAAATTCAGTTTTAGTTAATTATCATGAAAAGAAAAAAAATGAAGAAAGAGTGAAAAGAAAGTCGACACTATTTTGGAACGGTCTTTGCGCAGACTTTAAGGCGTTCCCATGAGCATGCCTTTGGTTAGGTGCAAGAATTAAGTATGTTTGTCACTTTTTTCCTGGCCTATTTTATTTTTCACTAATATCCTGTTCTCTATGATTTTCTGTTTTTTTGGCAGAGAACAAGGTTGCACAATGGAACCAGAGTTTTGCGTATCAGTTTTACAAGAGGTAGCAGTGAGCAATCTTGTTGCTCTGTGTAAGGTGAGAAGAAAGATGAACTTTCTATAACCAAAGAGCATAGCATTTAATTTCTTTCACGGGTTTTGCACAGTTTGTCTTTTTTTCTTAATTTATGTAGTGACAAATCGATGCTAATACGGTTAATAGTGCGAGCCTTGTTGTAAAAGACGATGGCGTTGTGTAAACCTTTGTGTGATGTTGTTCTGAAGAGAACGGCTGTGGAATTGGAATTTCATTTTTCACCGTATTAAAAAGACCACATTCCGGACCATAACAGACCGACCCAATCTTACCGCAGGGTCTAAACTGATTATTCACAACATATGATTATAACCGTTACCTTCGTTTGGCAGCCATTAATCCATAAAACCTTGACATCTGTAGGCATATTATCCATAGTGCTTATCTATGCATTTCCTAGCCTGCGTCTAACGGACTAGTCTACGTGAAGGGGTTTTCTTGCTTTTTTTACATAAGAATAGGCAAGTAGGAGGCAAGTGTGACGGACGAAACTCGCGCGAGAGGAGAAGCTAAACAATACAACAATAAAAAACTCCATAAAATAAACGATGCCTCTTTTGACAGACTGGAACTGATTGTCGTAATTGTTTTTCATCTGCACACGGTGGCTGGGAAGGAATATCGACTTCCGTGCCTTTCTCTTGTTCCCGCTACTGATTTTGTTTCCTCCCGCGACTTCCTTGTTTATTCTGCGAGTTCTTTTTTCCATTCACACCTTCTGCTTTGCATCCTTGCCTTTTATTTCTACCCGGACGTTCTTTTTATTTTCATTAACGACTTCTTTTTCCATCGGCGACTTCTTTTTACTTGAAAGCCCACGCCTTATTCTCGGTCTGCGACGTGAAATTGGCTATTCCTTGGCTTTACACCCCAACATCAGTAAGCATACTCTCCACACTTTTTCAGTACATTTCTTCAGGTTCTGAAAAGGGGAATTTGTCTAACAATCAAGAGCTTCTTTCTTTGTTTATCATTTTCCTTATTCTCGTGACCTTAATGTCTTATTCATGGGTGATCTCGTAAGGAGAAATTAGATGCTAGTCACTCTTAGGGGTTAAGGGGTTAAGAAAAACGTAGGAAGGTTTCAAAAGCTTTGTAAGTTTACCTCAAAAAAGTTCAAGGTGGATCTCAAATCCGCGGTGTCACCGCCCTCTGCGTGGTTGCAGTCAACTTGCCGCTCAGCAGACATTCAGAAATCGTGTGCGTTTGAACAAAAAGTCACGTAAAAAATACTTAAAGACATCCCGTTTTTGCTCGTCTCCGTATTCTTTCACGTTTTCGAACCACAATAGTAGCTTATGATTGTCTAAAGTAATTAAAGTAATAATCCATTCTCAGTCAGCGTTGTACACAGGACACTATGACATCAATATCGGAAAGGCCTCTCCACCCCACCCCCCCCCCCCCCCCTCTTGACCACCAAAGGGAAAACGCAAACTACTTAAAATAGCCAGTGTCTCATGCCAAGGCAAACCGGCGGTTCTTAGTCACAAGGCTTAAAAGAACATACTAATCCGTTTTCTCTTGATGTTTTTAAATTTGGTATTTATATAGGAAAACGCATTTTCTTATTACTTAAGGTAGAATTTTTTCTCTAACCACCTCAATCCTTTCTATCTCTGTTTCAGGCGTGCGATTTCTTGTTCATCGTTCTTTGACGCAAAAAATGTAGAAGAAGAATTTTCCTCAAGGAAAGAGGAAGTTAAAGAGTTCAGCAATTGCGAAATTTTATCTCAGTGAACGAGATATGTACTAAAATTATCATTTAGTCGTGTACAGAATTTGTAATAGATCCTTATTAGTTGAGTGTAAATAAAGTTTTTGGCTCTACTTGAAGAGTTATTGTGGTTTCATAATGATTTATAGTAAATTTTAAGTATCCGGTGTTTCAGTTTTTTGGCTGATAACCAATCAAATGTTGGGCCTCATGAGAACCGGAAACTGCATAGGCACGCACACGTAGTTGTGACTTCCGGAATACCATTTACTTTTCTTTCGATCATTAGATCTATAAGAGTGCTGATAACTTTATTTTCAGTTAAGAAAGGAAAGAAAATCCAACTTATACCTGATAAGAAAATAGCGACCGAAACTGTCCAATAATTTTCTGAAGGATTAGAGCGACAACAGAACGGCGCAGCTTTCTACAGGATAACGCGCATCTTGTTTTGAAGTCTTCCGCAAATTCAGAACTTGAGTAAAGAGCCATTAGAAATTGCGGCAAATGGTCATCTTATGGGGCCTGTGTCAGAAATGTTGTCCTTCCATTCCGAACTGTCATCGTAGAATGGCTAGGTAACATCACGTTGCTTTCATGGCTTGTTACAATGGCGAGGTCGGCACAAAATTTCCAACGGGGCGATGGGAAGAGTTTTGTAAAGACCGGGGCGAAGTAGCGGCGATCAATTTCGCCAATGAATTCCTTCAATTTGTAAGAGACAACCCAGTTTTTGATGTATCGGGAGCATCTGGTACATTTTCTAAGCGTTTTGTCGAGCATTTCCTTCAAGCATTTGACGTAGAGGTGCATAAACAAGACGGATTTCTGGACCTCGAGGCCCCCGACTCGCCGACCGATGTGTTCGGTCCAGACGATTGGGGTTCAAGCGTTCATCTCACGGGCACATTTAAAGCTCCAGAGAAGAAAACAAGTGAATCCAGCTTCAAATTCCTTGAGAAATTAAAGGACGTGAAAGGATTTTTCAAACGCAATGCGAACGAAGAGTTACCTCCTGCCAAACAGGCGGAAACGAGGAGAGATCTGGAAGATCAAAGAGCTCAATTTCTGGAGACGAAACTGACAACTTCTGTCAAACGCGAAGGAGTCATGAACTATTTAATGAACTTGGAAAGTGGAATGAATACAGAGGACTTCTTTTGGCAGAAATGTCGAGTGGTTCTGTTCAAAGCACCTGGAGGGTTTATGTTGGAGTTTTATACACCTCCAAAGGTAATTCAACAGAGATCGAAATTTCTAATTTGAGGAACAGGTTTTATGTTTTGATCTCTTTGCTTTCTAGTCAACCGACCACCTGGTTGGTCATTTTCCCTTATCGCTCCATTAACTCACAATGTTGCCTATGTATTTGTATTGTCTCTTGAGGTTTTTAAGGGTGTTAATACTTAATCAAAACATGAATGGACTCGGTGTGAAACTTTTCTTCTTGTTTACAGCTTATCGCCAGGATGAATGTTAAGTCAAAATTTTTCACCGATCGAAAGTTGACCGTGATCACCTGTTTAGCTTAAAGCACATAGATGTAGCGGCCCATTATGATGTTCTTCCTTTTTTTCCATTCTGCTATATACGGTTTAAGTCTGATTATCACTTCCTTGATCTACGCGATATATTTGTTATTTTTGGATCAGATCGGATTAAAATTGGATCTAGGAAGGAATTATGTTTTTTTTCATGTTAGTGAAATTCAATTTATTTGTTTCTTTGGGAAATAAGAGGGTTTTTAAACGATATGTTTGATATTTAAACATTGAAGTGTCGGTTTTTTCATAGGTATTTGTAGTCAATAAGTGTGTATTTGGAATGAGCTTGTTGGGTAGATATATCGTGTATTTACCTGTAGGTCAATTTGTTTTCCTTTCATTTTCTTAATGTTTTAAGTGTGGGTTGCACACAAGATTCATCTAATGCATTGAGCAAAGAGAAAATGAAAAAAATTGAATGCCATCAAGAACAAGACACATTAGAGTTAGCTGCAAACTCATATTCATGGATCTGCAAGGGAGGACAAACAGACCATATCAGTGGCCAAGTCATAGGGAACTGTGACATGAAAAAGTCTGGTCATTCTTCTTTCCTCCCTTTCCCCAAAAAAGAAAAACTAATCAGCGAAAAGAAATGATACAGTTTTGTCTCTTCTCCTATTGAGTGGGATTAAGGTCTAGGTGGTTCAATATTGGCTCAGCTTTTTTTCAGTTTTTGGGTTTAACAAATTTAAGAGCAATATGAAGCTGAAGTCCATGAAAATGTTGCAAAGAAAAGGCATATATTGCAACCTTGAGTGAGCAAGACTGATGTATATACGATTTGTTATTGAAGAACGATCATTGGGTAAAGAAACACATTTAAAGTTGAGGAGAAAATAGAGCTTGCCATTTGACCAACTGAGCTTTCAAACAAACTGGGAGCTGGCCCAATAATTCTTAAGGCAACACTGCAAATTTTCATGTTTCTCTTTTAAAGATTTATTGCATAGCAAAAGTCAGACACAAGCATTTTTATTTTAGATAAGAAGGAATATGTCACCCAAAGGCCAATCAAACATAATTTATCTTGTTTATTCAAGAAGCTAACCATTAATACCGTATACCATTTCCACCCTGTTTTCATGGACTATGTAAACTCAGGGCTGGTTCAGTGTTTCAAGACCTCACTTTGCACATCAATCTTCTTATAATAATAGTGTTATTCAATTCATAGAGGAGAAGTAGGGTTGTTTTATTTCTTGGTTATGGAAATCTTGGTTTTGCAACCAAGATCTTGATAACCAGGCTAGAAATAATTTCCATTTTGACCACTCCTGCAAGGTATGAGTTTAACCATGTTTATTTGGCCAGCCCCAATAAATGGGTTTGTATACATTATCCAGTGTTACAACATCTACCTCACCCTCTTTTTCTCAAGAGAAAAGAGGAATAATTTTGTATGGGAATCTAACAGTCTATCAGAAATCACCTAGGACTTTATGTAGTGCTTCCCTACAATTGAACCTGTTTGATTAACCAATTAAGCAAATTCAACTGGACTTTTGTTGTAGAGGTGTTTTGTTTTTCATTCTATAGTCACCCAAACCAAAGACAGGAATATTCTGCTTCCTCATTCATGAAGCAAGGCCTGCAACAGAGTTGGAGCTGCCAGGAGGAGAGAATGTGTTTGTCATCAAGGTTTGCAATGAATTATAACATATACTATCTTTACTGACGCATTATGGGATACACATCTTCACAATAAGGATCAGCAATATTTAAAGCTTTCCTTATGAATAAATATGCTTAATTAAGCAAAGGTCAGAAAATCTTATCTATGACAGATGACAAATTCTTTGCTCAGATTCCTAAAAGGGACTCAGAATTTTTCTTTGTCTTGCATTTTTTGGTAATAAGACCTAATAAGCATCTCTCTATGTTAAAAATGTAATGTTCCATGAGGTGTAACCTTTAACTCCTAGGACATCTACATTTAACTTTCTCTTAGACACCTTGATGTATTAGTTTTGTTTACAGTGGATCTGTTAATTTTTTTCTACAGGCTGTAAACAAGAGAGAATACATGCTAGCAGCTAATCACAAGGAGGAAATGGATGAGTGGCTGGCTGAGATAAGAAAATGCATGGAAGAAGATCAGGGGTCAACCAGTCAAAGGTGAAGGGCTGAATAAATTGTTTTTCTGCTGTTGTTATTAATTTGGAGAGTGCAGTATTACTCTGTGAGAAAGGTTTCCTTTAACTTTTCTTGGGCAATATTGGGCTTTAGCTTTTAATGGGCTGACATCACACTTTTTCTGTTTGATAGCCAGTGTGAAGAGTTCCTAAAGCTGATGTCTTAGGAGTTAGCCCTTTGTCAGTGCAAGTGACATGTGTTAGGAGTTAGCCCTTTGTCAGTGCAAGTGACATCCTAAAGCTGATGTGTTAGGAGTTAGCCCTTTGTCAGTGCAAGTGACATCCTAAAGCTGATGTCTTAGGAGTTAGCCCTTTGTCAGTGCAAGTGACATCCTAAAGCTGATGTCTTAGGAGTTAGCCCTTTGTCAGTGCAAGTGACATCCTAAAGCTGATGTCTTAGGAGTTAGCCCTTTGTCAGTGCAAGTGACATCCTAAAGCTGATGTCTTAGGAGTTAGCCCTTTGTCAGTGCAAGTGACATCCTAAAGCTGATGTCTTAGGAGTTAGCCCTTTGTCAGTGCAAGTGACATCACACTTCTTTTGTCTTTAGTTCGTTACTGAACTGTTTGTAACAGGAACACATAAAATCATTCTGAATGGCGTTTGGTCTACATCTTCAGCTAGGGGTCAGTTTCCAACAGCAGCCAGCTGACAGATAGATCTTCCTGTTTTTAACCATTTAATTCCTAGAAGTGATGAAGATGTAACTTCTCCCTGTAATATCCATACATTATCCAGCAAACAGGTAGTGAGATTACTCAAACTTATCAGGTACAAGACACTATCTTGATTAAACACCAAATTCTCGTAAACAATTAAAAAAGGAAATGTGTGGCAGGTAGAATAGAGAATTAACAATCAGATCTTGGGAGTTAAAGGGTTAATACAGTTGTACCCATTCATACAATGATTTATGGAAACCACTTTTAACACTGTGGGCATCACAGAAGTACTAATCAAAACTTTATGTATGAAAACGCTTGAATTATAATAGTAGGGCTGTGGTTTGTCCCTCTATGCTCATTTGTCACGCTGTTATTTCTTGCTGTCTGCAGTGGTCCATCAATATCTGGTTCTGATGAGAGAGGTGCAGAGGCAGCCCTTCCCCCAAGTACCCCAGCAAATGCAGTGGCTGTATCAAACTCAGTAGTAGGAGCTAAACTTGGAGATGGTCAAGCACTAAGAGTCAGACTGGACAGTTACCCTGCAGGCAAGTGATATTTATTCCATTTTTGCATTAAAAATTGGATATTGAGTTCAAAGCATTTTTGCAGAATAAGAACAAAACAAGACTTGAATACTAGCTGAACTGAAGGAAATAAACATTTTGCTCTTGCAAGACACTCCCCCATTCCCTTACGAAATCCTTGCTCTTTACCAAAGTCAACCATTTCTGGGAAATATTTCTGTTTTGCATGTTTTCTATTTTGCACGTTTTCTACTTGAACAATGTTATTGCCATTGTGATCGAATTTGCCAATGTGACCCCCCTTACCACCCCCCTCCCCTTACCTTCAATTGGTTGAATATCCATCCAATCAGACTCTTGCTTATAGGAGTAACAAAGAAGAAACTCTCTTATTTTTGTTTGCAATGAACAACATGCATCACACAAGAAAATGAAGCCAGAAACCTTAATACAAGCATAAGAAGCCAGATGATTTTTGGAATTTTGGAACATATGAAGCTTAAATCTTAGTTTTTTATGGACAACTGATCCAAACTTCCTTTTATCTGGGAATTTTGGTCACCTGTATGGGAGAGCAGAAGATTGGCTCTGTATCTGGGAGACTCTTGGATAATTCGGGGGAGTTGGTATATATGTATAACAATGAAGTCACCTATGTGTAGATATTTCAAGTTTCTTTTATGATCCTAGAGAAATTTTTCCTTAGGATGACCAAACATTTACTAGTAACTGGAAGTGGTCAAGAGTTAGATGATCACTGGCCATGGGGCTGATGTGACCTTTATTTTTTTGAGAAAGCAATACTAAGGCTAATTTTGAAGTGAAACAGAGAAAAGGCTAGTTATCAACCCCAGGCAAACTACCTTTCCCCTGCGTAAAGGCATGTTGGGAACATAGCACACAACTGTGAATATATATTCAGTTTAATAACTGTAAACTCTGGCTTTTGTCATTGTCCAGATAAAAAATCCACAGAGGCCGTGTCCAATTTAGCAAAAAGACGGAATGTTTACACTCCCTCGTCACTTCAAATACAGAACAGATCCACAGGATCATTTTCTTCACCTCATGGTCCTCAGACCCCCACATACCAAGGTCTGTTGATAGAAGAGTGTTGTTGTCAAACTTAGCATTATTTTTTTAAGATATTTCATTATTATATGGTTGTTTTTTATTGTGATTCAGTTCCAAATGTGGCTCAAAATTTTAATTTGGATCTTTTGTTTTTGGATATGGTAATGTGCGATAATAGTGATTATGGGAAAGATGTATATAATTGTGAATGTGTTTGCTCTTCTGTGAGCATTACAAAAAAAATTGTTGTACTTAATGTTAACATTACAGATGATCTACCCCATGGCCGTCCTCCTCCGGAGCTTCCTCCAAGATCTCCAACCAGCAGTGAGGCGACACCCTCTCTTCCCCCTAATCAGCCTGATCTGTTGCGGCAGATTTCTGCTCAAGGAGCACCACAATCAACTAATGAAGGTAGAATTCTTTATCATATTATTTTGTATATCAATCATTCAGTAGTGCAATAGTATTGTTTTCAGAGGTTGTTTAAACTTTAGAAGTCTGGGAGATTATGTGGACTTCGTATAATTTAAATGACTTTCTCATTATGGTGACAAGGTTAGACAATTCTGTTTATAATTATGGAATGATTAAGAAAGTGGTAGATACACTGAAAGATAAGACACAGAATTTTTTATTTTCTAAGGAATGCCACAACAGTTCTAAGGTCTTCTGTTCAAAATCAGAGAGTTGAACTGTGATTTTACACAAAATGGTAGTTGTTCTTGATAACTAAAGGAAGCATAACTAAGTATGATTAGAAAGAAAGATTTAAATTGGCTTGATCCATTTCATGACTTAATGTGGGTTACTCCCTTGAAAAATTTAAATTACTTTAAATTCTTTGAGCTGAAGCTCTGAGACTCAGTGGCCCCTTCATCAAGACTTTTTCTTGAAATGGTAAAGATATTTTATCTTTATTATTATTTTTTCTTTCAGAAAACACAGTGTGGGTTACAGCTTCTATGGAAAATCACCCTCTTGCAAATTACCCATGGTTCCATGGAACCCTGCCAAGAATAGAGGCCTCTCATCTGGTGTCACAGGGAGGCCAGCAGTGGCATGGGATATTCCTAATAAGGCAAAGTGAGACAAGGAGAGGGGAATATGTGTTAACATTTAATTACCAAGGGAGAGCAAAGGTAAATATCCATTGTTTTGGTTGTTTCTTTGGGAAATGAAAGGTTTTAAGCTTCCAATGCATAGAAAGACTTGTTAAAATTGTGGCTTGGAAGGTGGATGCCTTTTGCTTTCATTGTTTTACAGGTCATGGGAAACCTGAAAGTCATAGAAGTGTAAATTGTATGAACCCTGTCTAGAGAAAGCTGTCTCATATTAAGTGAAAAATTCAGCAATATTGGAGCACTTCCAAAATTTGCTGAAAAATTGAAGGGACTATTGTCTTTGCCTCTAGCCTTTCAGCTGTGTTCTGACTTATAGTTATCAATTTAAATTTGATTTTTTATGTAATTAACGGCTTATTTAGTCAATGCTCAATTTGAAATTATCCAAATTTCAGCATCTCAGACTTGCCTTGAACGTGGAGGGCCAATGTCGTGTCCAGCATCTCTGGTTTCAGAGCATTTTTGAAATGCTGGAGCACTTTCGAGCTAATCCAATTCCGCTTGAGAGTGGTGGACCTTCTGACGTAATGCTCACAAATTTTGTGGTTTACACAAGTTCTGGTTCACCCCAACCTGGAAGCTCCTTGCAGCGCACCCATGTAGGCCATGGAGGTGAAGGTGGTCTGCGCCGTTCTCACAGCCTTCATGTAAACAGGATAACTAGAGCAGCAACCATCCAAGGTGGCTCTGTTCGAATTGCATCAAATACGGCTAATGGCCAGGCGCATTCAAGGGCAGTTGAAAATCAGTATGCCTTTGTTTGAATTTGAAGGCTAAATTTCAAAAGTTGTATTCTCTTCTGTTAAATTTTTATATAAAATTAATGTTTACAGTATTTAAAGTGAGACTGATTTAAGTCTCACTGTGATCTAGACAGAAGTAACTACCATTCTGAAAGCCTCTACAGGTCATAAAATGGAGAAGTAACTTAGCCTGTTCCAGGCTTTCATTTGGCAAAGGGAGTAATGATAACAACAATGCCACAAAATGAAGCAATGTCAGAGTACGTACATGTAGAATGCCTGGAACAGAGGTAAACCGGAACAGATTGTTCCCCAAGTAAATGGTCTGAATGCTCTTTTGCTCATTTCAAATGCTATCTTCATTCGCCAGATCCTGATAATTACCAAGCAGTCATGCCTAGAACAGTTATTGTCTTTTGTACTGTAAACAAAAAATATGAGGTTTTTTCTTGAATCCTTTCCAGCCTAATAAATTGTCATGCATTAGTTCCCTTTGTTTGGCTATGGTAACATAAATCTTCAGTGAAGTGTGATCAGTAGCACTTGGCCCAACAATGTGATAATATTTTTGTATTTATTTATGCTTTGTAATTTGAATACGTAAGACAGAAAGCCTCATAGTGCAATTAGATTTGCTTTCTCTTTCTTAAGTTTGTGATTTTTAATATACATGCCAAACTTTCAGCATGCCCATTGGCTGAGAGTATGCCCCAAACAATGCATACAGCTTAAATTGCATGCTGAAAGACGAAAGTAAGTGTAAATTATTAACAATTAATCAAATATTATCACTTGAAAAAAACAATTAATAGGGGCAATTTACAGTTGTGTACTTAGCTGCCAAGCCTTTGATTTGGAGTGAGGCTGAAGGTGACCTTGTTGTGATAGAAACCAGTATGTAGTGAACATGATAGCAAAGTAATTAACATTTGAAAGGCAGCAAGGTTTTAGTGTGTTGTAACAAGGTCACCCTTAGCCTCACTCCTGTTCAAAGGCTTGGCAACCAAGCACGCAACTGTAAAATGGACCATTGTACAATTCAACATGAACATGAAAACATTTGATTACCTAAGTATGCAATTGCCACTATGAGGTCTAAATAATGAAGTTTTTATTTTATATTATTTTATACCTAGTTACTTTAATTTGTATGGGAACTATTTTAAGATTCTATTAGAATTAGTCCATTTTACAGTTGTGTGCTTGGTTGCCAAGCCTTTCCACAGGAGTGAGGCTAAGGTTGACCTTGTTATGAGACAAACCTTGTTGCTTTTCAAATGCAAATTACTTTGTTAGCATGCTAACTAAATACTGGTCTCTATCACAACAAGGTCACCTTCAGCCTCACTCCCAATCAAAGGCTTGGCAACTAACTACACAACTGAAAAATGGCCTATTGCCCAAACACTCAACTCTTGCACCAGAAATTATTGTATTTGTCTCTTACTTTTAATTCTTCCTTTTTGATATTTAATTTATCATATTTCATTACCTGATATGTTCCAGCTATGTTGTTGTTGCAAATATATAAGAATTTTGTAAGAAAGAAACATTTCACATGAAAGGATAAATGATTTTTAACAGTATGTTGGAACAATAATTGTTATGTTATTAGTCAATAATTCTTTGCATCTTTATTGAAAGTAATGGTTGGATTATGCTGATGTAGTTCAACAGGTCTCTACTTATTGTTCCTAAAAATTTCAGGTGAAAACACAGGGAATTATGTTCTAAATATTTTCATGAGTAGATTGCAATAACATCCTGTTAATGATAAAATTTGAGAAGTGGAAACACGAGGAGTTTTTGGGTGAAAGTGAACCTGAAGTTTCCATTATGAAGTACAGTGATTCAGGTTTTTTTTTAATTTTTAGAGGTGATTATAGGGAAATTTTATCATGGGCTGTATGACACACTTGTAAAGATTCTGCTACATTCCATCATCCCCACAGGATTCAAATGTCAAATTTAGCAAATTTTTTAGCTTACAAAACTGGTGCTCAGGTTGGCATACCCAAGAGAGTGCTGTAAAGTGTCTCTAAATCTCATGCCTGAGTACTGATTACATTACTGAAAGCATATTGATAAGTATTATTTTGAACTTTTGATACAGCTGAACTTTTAGCAATGAATTAAAGTGTCTTTTTAATGAAGCTATGGGAATGCATTCTTGTGTTAACCCTTTACACCCTATTGGGACCAAAATCACTTGTCCATGCACACTCTTTAACCCTTTAACTCCCATGAGTGACCAAGACAGAATTTCTCCTCACAATATCAATATAATATCAAGCAGACAGGTGATGAGATTAAAGAAAAATATCAATTAGGGGATTATAAGTTGATCCAATCCCAAATTCTCCAAACTGACATCACAAGAACTGTATGGCAGACAGTAAAGAGAATTACTAATGAGATCCTTGAAGTTAAAGGGTTGATATTCTTCAACAAATGAAATAAACTGAAGTGTTGAAGTGAAGATAACAACTGGAGCGAAATAAACATTTGAAGCAGTTGCCAAAATGGGATTAACAAATAACAAGTTACTACAATTATAAGTTTAAAAAAAACTGACAAATGAGAAATAAAATAAAAGACAACAAAAAGACCCTTACAAACATTGTACAAGATCCTGGCTGGTTAAAGATAATGTAAAACATGAAGAAAACAATGGCAGTGCAGCGATTAAAGCTGAATTAATAAAATCTAAGGTAAAGAACTTATACGCATAACACAAACAAAGAATACTTATTCTAAAAAAGGTAACAATATGAAAATGAAAGAACTTATAACAATATGAAAATGAAAGAACTTGATTGAAAAGTGACAAAGGCAAGAAAAAAAAAGAGTAATGTCAAAAGAAAGAAACACCCAATAATTTTGGTGGCAACAACATCCTAACATCAGTTTACATGTTCCCCATGCTGTTCTAAACACTTTTCCTGAAGTCCCTGAAGGTTCACAATCAAGAGCTTCTTTGGTTGATAATCATTTTCTCTATTCTTGTGACCTAAATATTTGATTCAAGGGTGTTATTGTTGGGAAAAATAAGATGCTAGCCACTCCTAGGAGTTGAAGGTGTAGGGGACTTAGAAGATAAAAGCTATTTTTAACCCTTTCACTCCCAAGATCTCATCAGTAATTTTCCGTACTGTCTGCTATACAATTCTTATGATGTTAGTTCTGAGAATTTGGTAGTGGGTCAACTAAAAATCCTCTTCTTGATATATTTCTTTGTTCTCATCACTTGTCTGCTTGATATTGTATTGACATTGCAAGGAGAAATTCTGTCTTGATCATTCATGGGAGTTAAAGGGTTAAGAGTTCCCATATGCTCAGCCACTTTCTGCTTGATATTAATTCAATTTTGACCCTTACAAACCATGTAACAGTATGAATTTTCTCCTTTTTCTTCCTTCTGTGATACTGAGATTATGCATATGATCAAAAGGATGTTTAGTTTCTGATTATTTTCTTTATTCTCGTGATCTTACTGTTTGATTCAGAGGTGATACTTCACAAGAAATTGAATGCTTGTCACTAAGTGACCTGGAATTATTGGTGCTTCCTACAAGTTCATCCCAGGTTACTTGTCCAAGTTTCAAGTACAGTTTGAAAATATTTCATTCAACTCCTAGATAGGTTATACTCCCTATCCCCAAATGCAAAACAAAAGAGTGAATATAAAAAATACTTCATCTGTGTTTTATCCAGTATAAAACGGAACTAGAAACAAGCTGTATTTGTGTTACCCATGACTGGCTGGGAAATTGAATGCAATTGTTTACATTTAATGTTACACTACTCAAACCTTCAACAAATATATTAACTACAAAGGAACATTATTTATCTTCAGACAACGGACCTCAGCTATGGAAACCAAAAAATTTAATTATTGAGTTTGTGAGGTTCACAGAAACTTGTAGCGATCTCAAAAATAATTGGAACTTGTTTAGAGTTTAATAAAAGTTTTTTCAACTCAGGCTCATTTTGTGATTATATTTTGAATCCTGTTCAGTATAATTAATCATCTAAACCTTCCCCCTTCACTGAATTTTCGATGACCGATCACAGATCAATGCTAGGAATGGTCTTCAGCAAATCGATTAAACGGAATATTTGATTTAAGTCAGTTACTTCCTTAAGATCCGTCTAACTTTTTTATCTGATTCCTCAACCGTTTTGTGAGCTAAATCTGTTTTTATTAAAATTCCGTCCAGCTGTTCATTTTGCCGTTCGATCTCGCCACCAAGTATCAATGCATCTTCTTTCAAGCGGCCTAAGCCTCGTGACATAAGGTCCAGATTTGCGTCGATTTCCCTTTCGTACGGGTCACGCGATGAGAAGCTACTTCTTTGAAATTGACCACCTTCTCCTGTCCATGCTCCGTACTCTTTGCTATCCCTTCCGTGGTCTCTACTGGGATAATACAGAGAAGAGTCCTCTTCTAAGCCTGACAAGCCACTTCTGGTATTACTCGAAGGCAGTTGAGTGTTTTCTTTCGGTTGAGGTGCTTTCTTGAAATAATTCCCTATGGCTCCCCAAATGCTGTTCACCGATTTAATGTGTCTGTTTGCAATTTTCATGTCGCCCTGTATCTTGTCTAAGTTGCGTTCTACTCGATTCAGTTGTTCCCCTTGACATTGGAGTTCTTCTCCTGTTTTTACAGCTATGTCGTGTGTGTCTTCAATCAGGGCTAAAGAACGTTTAGTACTCTCCATTGTCCTTTCTCTTGCCATCTGCATCTGACTTCGTAATTCATCTCCATCGACCTTTTCAAACTCATCGTCGGAACCGTCGTCAAACGGGTTTGTCTTGCGATTAAAATCAAACTCACTTCTCCTACCGTTAGCGGCCATGTTGTGTGCCGTTTGAAACGATGACGTCATTTCGTAGTTCTATTTTAAGCACATGACGGATCCGTGACGCTAGCAAATAAGGGGCAGCTCGCACTCAAAATAATTGAGCTCTCAATGATCAGTCATTCAGTAAGAACATCCTGAAACTTTTAAGCATCGTGATTTATAGCTTTTCCATGGAAAGGCACTCACCACTTTTCCAGGAAATCATCCGCTTCCCCGCTTTTCATATCTGCCCGCGTGCCTGACTCATAGAGGGAATATTACTGCTTACCTGTTTCTCTTTTTTCGTGCTCAAGTAAGTTTAAGGGAGGTAGATTTCTGTCACTCCAAATGCTAAAAGAATAAGACGGACAATTACAATACTAAAATGATTGAGTGTATTTTAGTCTACATTATAAGCAATAGCAAGAGTGCATTAAGTTTAAGATTGAAAACATAACGTAACGCTGGTGACACTCCTTCTTTTACTTCTTCCCTATTATACCCGATTTTGACCCTACCCCTGGCGGGGACATCCTGACATGAAGAATCGTGAAGAACTATGGGTAATGTCACGCGGCGCGCTAGGATCGTTGGTATACGCGGATTACAGAGTTAGGAATAGTAAGGAGTAGAGGAGTATTTACTTTCAAATTTTTCCTCAAAAACGGAAGTCTACGAGTTCCTCTGGAAAATTTATCACTTTAAGAGTGTTTTTCATCCCTTAAAACGTTTCTAAGAAGCCATTTTGGCGCGTTTTGAAGCTGCACATTCTCAAATATTATGGCGAAACTTGTAGCGGTGTGTAGAGACGAAACCGACTTCGCATTCGAGCGTCGACAAATCCCTCTGAATATTGAGGATGCCTTAACGGTAATTAAGAATTTGTGTCCATTGTGTTTTATCTCCTTCGGTGGAGAATACAAATCTGTGAGCGTTTTGTGTCATCCGCCGTGTTGTTGTCTTCCTTGTTGTCCTAGATGGTGATGGAAATTCCTGAAACTGTGATTTCTACTCGAGAAGTCAACGAATACGAAGTACAGTCGTTTCAAAAGGTGAGTTTAATTTTTCTGTCTTTCTTCCCCCGCTTGTGTATTTTTAGACAGTTCTGAAGTCTCCCGAGAAGTCTTTTCTTGAGCTGAAATGGTTCTAATCGGTTGAGATGCTACTTTTATTATCAGCGTCTCGGATTAACACTAGTAAATCAGTTGGCAGTTAGGGTGAAAATTATATAAACCAGACTGAATCGAGATTATTTCTAGAGATACAAATCAAGCATTAGCATTTAACCGCGCACCGACTTCGACAAATTGGTCAGTTTATGAAATTATATTTAGTGATTGGCTAGTGTGAAACAAATTTCGTATCAACCACCGTGATTCTTGGTGGTAAGAACTCCAGTTGTCTTCGTTCTTGATGTAAACACTGCATGTGATCGTGGTGGCTGATTTTACTTTGTCAGCAAATTCAGTTGTCCTGATTGAGTTTCTCCCTCTTTGCAGCGTTTTCAATGTCTTAGCGCCGATGATCTTGCGGTTGCGACGATGGTAAGACAGAAAGATGTTTTATCCTTCCTGTCCCACTCGGTGCCTTGTGTTGGTTGTCGGAGAAGGTATCAAATGTTTCTATTTTCATATTATTTCCTCATCACTGTTAAATTAATTATTCACTATCGCAAACGAAATCTCAGTAACATTCATAATTGATTTTCTAATCAATGAAGTTTTTGATAGCTTCGTTTTGACTTGAAGTTGTTGTATCCCAATGTGGTGATGTGTGAAAAAGGTGACATTCTATTTAGTATAAATGTGTGATAGTAATATTGGAAGAGCAGTGGCAGTTCTCTTATTGATATTGTGCTTTTATACATCAATGTAAGTTGTCAAACTCTCAAATGATGCCTGAGAGGGTATGCCAATTTCATTCAGTTTTGTAGCCGGCTTTTTTCACGTCAGCTGGAATGTTTTTCTTATCTCTTAACTATATGACTGTTCATCACCGGAAAATGTGTTACATAACAAATATTTTTGGCTTTTAGTGTTGCCCAGCACTATCATTTGAACCAGACTGAACAAACACAAATTTGAAATCACACTCAAATGAAAGCTTTTTGATTTTTCAGTCACCAAAAGGCATCATGGGTATATTCTGCTGTTTTCTATCTAGATTCAGGAATTTTTCATTTATCATTCATCATTCAGATTTGTCCTCTGGCTTGAAGGATTTCAGGTTAATAATTGTTGCCTTAGGTTCCTGAGATGATCATGAGCTCATTTTGATTAATTTATCCATTTGTATTTTGTTATTTTCACATGCAATCAGTAAGGTTAAAGGAATTTTAAGTGACATTGTATCAAAGGTCAAAGTCAAGGCACAAACAAATAGAATTCTGCTGCAAGAATCAATAGTCAACCTCTATAAATGTGGCCAAAGTATTGATGGATTATGTAACAGCTTGTTGTCCAAGATTTCTCAATCAAACTAGCTATGAGCTCTGCAGTCATTGTATATACACTTTAAGCTGCTCGGGCATTCTAGCTTGGCATTTGATTTTGTTGTCATCTTCTGATGGCTTGTGTACTCTGTAAGCTTGTAGAATTTCATACCTTGCCACCCAATCAGAGGTTACTGAAGGAAATGTGATAGATGTTGATGATATTGCTTCCTAGTGCTAATTTCTCTGCAAATCTTGCATCAGGCCAGCCATAGGGAAAGCCCTGGAGAACAAGATTCTCAAACTACTACATTCTTATACAATAATCAGTGTTGACATCAGTTTCTCTAAATATTGTAGTGTTGTGTTGAACCAATTATTTTTTTGAGTATTTGCTTTTCTTTGAGGCTTATTGACTCTTGTTAGGCATCAAATGAAATATGATGCAATATTCGCCTAATTTTTTAACCAATAACCTTTACACAGTATTGAGCGATTGTACAATCAGTTAGTGGAATCAGGACAGCCTGCATTGGAACCTTTGATTATCACAAACAGTGGAGGTATGCATTTTACTTTTTTTTATGTAAGGGTAACAGACTGATAAATTAAGTAATTTACAGATATACAATTGATGAAAATTCAAATACTCCACTCAGCTACACCTAGAACAACTTGAATGTTTTTAACTTACTTCTCATTCTGTAACTTCATGAATTAAAAGTCTCTAATCCTTGTAGCATTGAAGCTATGTTCTTTTCATTGACTTAGATTTCTTTTCGTTGGTCTTTCATTGACGTCATGCTTTGTTCTCTTAATTAACATTGCAGTCTTGACAATGGATAGTTCATTCCTGAAAGACCCAAAACTTGTGTATGCACTATTTTATAAACATGGGTAAGTGCATCTCTGATTATGGTATGTGATGGCCAGTGTATCAGACTTCCAGTTTGAGGGATGTTTGTGCCCAAATGGTTGCACTGTGAACATTATGTTTATTAAAAAAATCTAAAATGTTTGGTGCACATACAGTGTCAAAGTAAATTCTATATTTACTGGCACTATGCACAAGCATTCCTTAGACAGAGTCTTGTTGTGATCATAAAAACTAGTGCTTTATTTAAATTTTATATTATTAATTAAGCCCTCACCATCAGTTTTGTAGCTATTAAAGCAACTTAAATTGGACTACGGTTGTAAGTTGTTTCAAATTTCACGAGGAATGATCATAATTTCCAGTAGTGAAGTAGTTCATTTAGATTGTGTTGTTCTATTTTGACTTTACCATTATACTCTTCTAGCTTTTTAGATGGTTAGGAGTGCTCTCTGGGTTCGGTCTGTGCATCATGACCTTTAGCCAGAAATTTTTCTGTCTGGCCTGACCTAACTCAGCCAAAAAGCATTTTATTTTGCCACCATTGTTCTTTCTTTATGCTTTCTTTCCTCTTTTAACTCCCAGGCTACAGGGTGGTTTGGCTTTGTGTGCCCTTGTTCATATCATTGTGGGCTAGGTGCTCCTAGGGCAATACGGCTCATATGATAATATAATTATTATTTCTCTACAGATCCAGGCTAAGTGAGATGGTTGAATCTATTCCTAAGAGCAGAAGAAACAGGTTTTGTATATCTCCTTCTTTCACAACAGACAATAATGTTCCACAGATATTTTTTATTAGTCAGAATCAGATGTTTGACTGGTTATGTTGCCTTAACTGTTTAACGATTGATTGATTTATTGATTTGATCGATTGAATGTCAAGGTACATGTATATATTGGCTGCACACTTTGTAATTTGCCTCTACATATCATGTCTTGTAGGAGGTGCCCTTTACATTCACTGGAAACACACAAATCAAGGCCATCAGGGTAAATATCTGCAAATGTCTTTAAATAATTGACTATATACACCAGATACAGTGTATCTCAGAGACTTTTTCTTACATTAGTTTAAAGGTAAATGTTTTGCCTTGGAACACAGAGTTTATAGCCCTTAATTAGAAGTGATAAAAAACAGTTGGCTGCTAGTTTGAGCAACATTTCACAGGTTATGATGATGATCATGCCCAACATGATAACTTTAAAAATGTGCATGTTTCTTTGAATGGGAAATATAGGGGCATGGAACAGGGTTATCAAAGAAAAGAAGAGCTAACATGTGGCAGAAATAATCAGGAATACTTTTTTTTACTGAAATATTCCTTCGACTTTAAATGAAAGATTGCAGAACAGCCTTCTTCTTCATCAAGAAAGCTTCCAAATAAAAACTCTGCATGACAAATAAAATCTATGTTTTATATTAAGACAATTCCAGTAGGAGTGAAAAGCAAGAGTAGAATTTTTATGAATATGGAAACATGGTAACTTTTCTGCCATATCTATAAAGACTGTTTCTGAAAAATTCCGATGCATTATAATCATTGTTTAGAGAGATTATCAAATGTATTTTGTTGTTAATTCATTCATATCTTTATCTCTTCAGAAGCTGGATAGATGTGTGGGATTTACTCTCACAGGAATGTAGGGATGAGGTACTTGGCATTGCTTTTACATTTATAGCAAATAATGGTTAAGAAACTTGCCCCAGTGTTTTGAAGGTTGGATAATTTTATCCACTGAATAGATCTCTGTCTGGTGGATAGCTCAGTATGTTTCACTATCACTCATCTGTTGGATAGCCTCATATGCCCTCTATGCAACTGGTGCTGTTCTGTAAGACCATGACTCTCAGCTATATTGAACTGTTGTAACTTAATTTCACTGTGACTTTGGATCACAATATCCTCCGTTGACCCATAGGACTTGCAACATAGTGGGATGCAACTAAAACATCCTAAAATTAATCTTAAAAAGTGTGGCAAAATCAACTATCAGAAGCCAAGGTTTGACATTGTTTGAAATAGTAAAAGACATCAGTTACTAATGATACTTCTCTCTTGTTTTGAGAGACACTCTCACCTAATGCGCAGGAATGCTTGACTGTAAAACTGATATGATATCATTTACAATTTTCCCAATGACCAAAAGATGAAAAAAGGCATTTAATTGTCACAATGTACTAACAAATTCTTTTCCCTCAAACAGGTGGTGCTGATTGACTCCAATGCTCTGCTTGACACATTGGAAAATTACCTCAGAAAACATAGGTAAGTCTACTTAGATGATCTTTCTGACATTTGTAGATTTTTGTACAGATCATGAGTTACTTTATCCACTGCCCTGAACCCTTTCACTCCCAAGATAAAAAGATCAGTGCTCTGCCCTGTACTTCATACATTTATTACAGGTTTGGCTTTGATAATTTTTTGTCAAATAAAACAATATATCCAAGTTTATGTTCTCCTTTCTTTCACATCACCTTTTTATTTGAATTTGTGTTAATATTGTAAGGAGAAATTTCTTTTTGGTCACACTAGGGAGTACATGTACATGTGCATGTTTTATTTTACCATGTAACTCCTATAACTGACATATTATATGTATATAGTATGGTAATGCTGTTCTACTTTCAACCAGGAGACACATGTGCACTGTTCAGACAAAAGCTGTTCACTTGAAGTTCATCATGATTACTTAGCTCAGTGTAACTTATTTGTTGTTGTTGTTGTAGATTTTGTACTGAATGTAAATCAAAAGTTTTGAGGGCATACAGTATTCTGGTAGGAGATTTGGATGGACCAAGTGAAAAGGGGTAGGTATGAAGTTATGTAAAGACAACAATATACCTGGTGAGGGTGCTTAATTTCCTTAGCTGTGAGCTCAGTTTGATTTTAGACCTGTTGTGTCAGAAGTTTGGATGATTTTTTGGCCTTGCTAGAGGATTTTCTATAGGATTCTCAAGTTTCCTTTCATGAAAAACTAGCCTGTGATGCAGTTGTCTTAATAGGGGTCAACATTACAAGTTTGCAATCAGTTATTCCTCTGTCCATGTTTGGTATAGCACTAGAGTGGACAGAAGGGGGGCCTCTCCTTTCTTTTGACTGTTGCTCACCCCCTTGGTACAATTTGTTTTCTCTCCCCAGCCTTTCCACTGCTGTAAAAATCAAAGACAGCAGCTTAATTTTCACCTAGAAAATACAGAGTACTCGCTTGCCAAAACTACACCTGCTCTGCAGGCTATTGAAAACCTGATAAGCAGATTGATATGTTCTGTGCTTTTTTGAAACATCTCATAGATTAACAAGCAATGTTTCTTTCTGACTCATCTAGTTACTGTGCTACTTTGTATGATGGTCTTAAAAGCTGTCCTCAAGACCGGCATGTCCATGTACTGTGTGATACAGACTACATTGCACATTTAATTGGACGGGCAGAACCAGAGCTGGCTGGAGGGTATGCAATACTTGTATCCTGTTGTAGCTCATGATAGGGCTTTTCAAAAGCATCATTATTTTTCATGTGGTTCTGGCCACCTACTTTTTGCTTTTCATTTAACTTGGTTTTATACAAGAAATGAGGGTGATTAGTAGAAATGAAAAGCTTTTCACTCATGGGAGCTTTAAGGAGCTCTGTTGCTATAGGTTGTTTCCTGTAGTGTGATATTGCTGTTGGGTGGAAGAGTGTAAGGGTGCTATCCCTTCCCCCTGTGTACAGGGGAAGAAGTGGTAATTTATCATGATCAAAAGCTAGGGATGCTTAAAAATGCCTGTAAGGCATCAGTGGAGAAGCTCCGCCAACCCCTCTCTCTAGAGAGAACCTTGCTTAAAGCACTACTTCTTTTAGATTCGTTCCTGAATTTTTTCTTAACCCTTTACATCAGCATGTATATTCTCCATACTGTTCTTCAGACATTTCCTACGGCTCTGACAAGGAGATTTAAGTTAAAACTCAAGAGCTTTTCAAGTTGATGAGCATTTCCTCAATTTTTCTTGAGCTTAATGTTTGGTTTAGCAGTGATACCTTAGTGAGAAATTAGATGCTAGTCACCCTCAAAGGTTAAAGGGTTAAGAGTGTGGCGTACCGCTAAAGTAGATTCAAAACACTTTGTTAACAGAGTACTGGCTTCGATTCATAAGCTTCTCTTTTATGTGTTGTGATAGGAGGAGAGAAAGGCATGCTAAGACACTGGACATTGCCCAGGAAGAGGTAGGAAAATTTTCGCTTTAAGTTTGTTAGAACTTCTATGTGGTGTCAATCGGTTGCTTTATGTTGGAGGATGTTCTTTCCACTTACCAATATCGTTATATTCCCTAAAACTACTTTTCCGCAACAAGGTTAGCTGGTGGTTAGTATCGGTGAGGTTTCTTTCCGTACTAATTTAAACCATCTTATTTTCGGTCCATCTTGAAGGTGTTAACGTGTCTCGGTATTCACCTGTGGGAAAGACTTCATCGACTGTGGCAGAAACTGAGGGCTGAGGAGCAAACGTGGCAGATGCTGTTTTATCTGGGGGTGGAAGCTCTAAGGAAAAGTTTTGAGGCAAGATAAGAGGCGCTTTCATTTTATTTGTTGACTTTCTATTCATTATTTGCTGAGGAATAGTTGGATTGACCAGAGTTTGAATAGAACGATTGATTGAATAAACAAGAACCGAATTCCTTAGCTTCACGGAACGATCAACGGAAGCTCTAACTGTTAACCCAATCAAACCAAAATCATACGAAGGTATGCAAAAAAGAAAACAAACAAACAAAAAACAGAAATGAACAAACGAAGGAACAAACGATCCACAGTAGTTACGGAGTGAAATAAAGAACGAGGGAACAAACTACATGATCAAACGAAGAAAAACCAGGTTATTTTACCTGTTGATTATCTTTACAGAACTTGACCATAGTTCCAGCAACAAGTAATGTTGGTTGGCGATGTTTTGCGTTTCTTTTTACATGGGTGTCGTTTTGACTTTGTCAGGTGGCGGTTGAAGAAAAGCAAGGCATATCACGCCTGGAACAAGTCGTCGAAGAGATTTCTGAGGCGGAGAGAGCCAAGGAACTCAGAAGAGAGCAGAAGCGATTGAAAAAGAAAGCGAGACGCAAAGAGAAATGTAAATGTGGTACTCACTTAACTATCTCGACAGCGAACAATGAACTGCAAACAGAGGAAACTGCGAAAAACGAGGAGGAATTGGAAGAGGAAGAGGTATGTACGAATGAGATCGTGGAAGAGACAAGGGATATGAATGGACATGGCGATAGCTGTGAAGATGATGAAGATGACGGAGACAGTGGCGGTTCACCGTGCAGTTGTGAAGACTTGAGCAACTCTGAGCGAAGCAAGAGCAAAAAATCGGGTTTTAGGAATGGTGACTGCGGGTACGTATCTTTTCCAGGTTACCAGACCCAGTTGCTCAAAGGGTGGCAAACGCTATCTAAAGGATAAATCGCTATATAAAGGATAAATTGCTATCTAGCGGATAAGTGTGAAGTAAAGGTGCAGGGCTATCCAATGGACAGATATTTATTTAGTGGAAAGTGTTATCCAACCTTCAAACAACCGGGGCCAGATTGTTAGCATCGAAAACACTTTTGTGTAGCTTGTTACGGAGAAAGTTGATAAAGTACTTCAGAGTTAAACCGACGCTAAAATTGCTAGTTGCCTTTCCTGGTTGATCTTTTGCGCCTTAAAATAAGTATGTAGAAGGTGAGTAGGTGTATATTGTCCATACTTTTCGCTTTACGTTTCCTAAGGAAATGACGAGGAGAATATGTGAAACAATCGGGAGCTTCTCATTTTGATTAATGGATGATGCTGATAAATTAGAGTCTAGACGCAGTATTGGTTTAAGGGTTGACAAGCATTTGTGCTGTAATCCCAGCTATTTTCCTTTCATTTATTGACTTGAAGTGATCTGTTGTAGGTACGTAGCAGAGTACAATAAATGGTCCAGGATGGTACACCAGAGTGGAGACATGTGTAATCATGGCGAAGATTCTTCGACGCTAGGAGGAGAGGAAGAGGATATATGTACAGATTGTTTGAGTGGGAGCCCAATTAGTGGTGGATCTCCACAGAGCAATAATGGAAAGGGAAGAAAGAAGAAGGGCAAAAACAAGGAGAAGAAGGTAAACATATAAGCCTCCTATCCACACCCCTTCACGATGCTTGATTAGTTATCTCTTTTCACTCCCATGAGCGACCAAGAGAGAATTTCTCCTAACAATATCAATACAATCTCAATCAGACAAGTGATGAGAATAAAGAAAAATATCATTTAGGGGATTATAAGTTGATCCAATATCAAATTCTCTAAACTAACATCGCAAGAACTGTATGGCAGACAGTTAGGAGAATTACTAATGAGATCTTGGGAGTTAAAGGGTTATTGTGCGGTAGTTTCAATCGTCATGCAATCTTGTCACTCTAACCAAGGCGGTCACGCTTTTTTGCCGTGTGAAGCTTGCGTGACTAAAGGGAAGATGCCAAATGTAATTTTGCAAATCGTTACTTTGTCCTTCCTCACCGTTAAGTCAATGAAAGTATTCACTCATTCATTCATTCATTCATTCATTCATTCATTCATTCTTGTCTTCAATATTGTTTTTATCTATCTCTTTAGCAAAATTCGCCGAGACATGAAAAGCAAGAAAAGCTTGTAGAAAATATTGATGACGAAGAAAAACGGCTCCTGAAGCTAATGGGTTGGAAGGATGGAGGAACAGAGTCAATGGTGAGTTATTTTTAACTATACTTCCGTCGCTCTATGGCGATTTAGGTTTTCCCTGGGATCCGATACCCTCAAGGGTAGAATATCCCCTGATCTCAAACTTCCTGTTGCGTCACGATTTGTGCTTCTTGAAAAAGAAAGCTTAAGTTTAGATAGTCTTTTTTAATTTTTATGTACAGTCAGCTTAAATCTTCTCCATCCTTAGCTATCTTTACTTCCTCCTAGTTTGTCTTTAACTTATCTTCGTTTGTCTTTATTATCGTGTTAGTATTTTGTATTCTCCGTCACGTTGTGCACCACTGAGCCAGTTGCGACTGGTCACGCGATCATAAATTAATGCGAGAGGTTACGTCACACAAATGTATATTGGGATCGTGAACAACAGGACGCTTTTCTCTAGATTGGTATACTATCGATTAACCTTTGTCGTCTTTCTTCATTTTACATCGTAGGAGTGTTTTTCGTCGGAGGAAGATCTCTGTATATCCGAGCAGGAAATTCTACGGTTCAAAGCGAACCAATCGTCAGTGTCACAGCAGCGACGGAAGCTTCGAGAGAAACTTCGCCAACAATTTAACAATTTGACGCTTAAGGAGGGTCTTAACGTCGCTATTGTTCATTAGGCCTTGTTAAAAATGCACTCACAACAGGAGATGGGGAGATGGGCGATAGGAAATGGGCAGCGGATAGTGGGGATGGGTGGGAAAGTGACTGTACTAGAGAGACAACTTCCCTGCCCGATCCATGTTGGTAGAAAGTAGTCACGGGTTTCTGTAGTTACGGTGGAAAGATTGTGTATGTGTGTGTGTGATGTTGTTTATTGTATGCAAGTGAAGTCCGCAAGGTGTGCAGCGATGTAGCAATGTTAATAAGGTTCTCCTTTGTTTTAATTCTTTATTTTAATTTTACTCCCTGATTACACTGTAAATCAGGATGAGTTTATGTGAAAACGGAAATAAATCTCTTGAATCAGATACTGTCAGATATCCAGGCTGAATCTTTACTCGACTTATAAAGTCTTTGTTTTCAGTCGTTTTCACCAGAAGCAAAGTTTATTCACTTGTCTTGGGAATTTCCCCCGCTATGGACTTCCGAGTGTCATTGTAGAAATACCAAATAGTAATTTGCGTTTGCGGCAAAACGAAAAATGAATTTCAAAGACTGTACCTTTTAATGGGAACTCCTCTTTTGCTTGCTCTTACCTGTCCTTTGAAACTTATTGCTATACTTTGCCCCTTGCTCGAACTCATGGTAGGGCGAAAGTGTCTGCCGAGATGTTTGATGGGATATTTCTTCCAGAACCTGGTGAACATCTCTTTAATTAAGGATTTTATGCCAGTGTAATGAACAATTTCAATTAAAAGTGAGGAATGTTAGAGATTTTAACAAGACAATTTGAATTTTTGCTTATCTGCCCTTCGTCAATCTGCTTCTATGTGTTAAACGGATAGGGCCTGATGCCCGAAAGTGGTAGATCTTGGCTCGGTTTTACTTTATACCCATACCTTTAGTAACAAGTAAAGTTCTTATCGAGGCCAAGAGTTTAATAACCAATCACCAAATCAAAATGAGTTATGAAGCAATCAACTGTCTCTAACCTCCTCATCTGACGTGTGTGGGTTGGTCACGGAGAGCTTCCTTGGGAAGGTGTCGACTTCACCCGAAGGAATGGGCAATTTCAACGGAAAAGTTACGTTTGAAAGGTATTGTTCCCCTTTAACTTCGTTCCTAGTGCGTTTTTTCTACGTTTACTCAGTAACCTGACTTTAAAATGCACCTTATAAAATGGAGAGCCTTTCCTTTCTCTATAATGACTCAGTTCTAAAATTTGTCGAAGATGTGAGTTCGTAATCCAATTTAAAACCCTCGTACCTTAATCCTGAGCGTAAACGCACCAAACAAAAGAAAACAATCCTTTTCGGGACGGTAAACAAACGGGAGTGGAGAGAAGCGGGACCTTGTCTACGTGAGGCAGTACCCTCCCCGCCAGCGTGAAACGAATGCGAGGTTTCCCCTCTCCCTCCCTCCCTTCCGTTTCATCTGGGGGGAAGGGTAAGGCTACACGTAGGCCAAACGGGCCTGGAAGGTGGGTTTGAGGTGTGCGTGACCACAAGTGGATACCGTGTCTCCAGACAACCAATAGGAGTGACGAAAGATTAGGATCAGACTTTGGCTTGGAGTGGTCCACTGTGTAGTGGCGTACTCGATTTTCGGTTTTGTTTGTTACAAAGAGGCGTCGGTCCAGGGAGTAATTAAACTGCAAACCTGGCGTTTTTCAGTTCAGTTTAAGATAAGTCAAAACAAGGAAGTTCCGTCTATTTTTTATAGTGAAGATGGAAAGTTACCAGTCGACACTACCGAGATCTATAACTAACGTAACGGTGGGCGTGCTTCTCCGGCTCCATCTCGTGAAATTAACTTATTATCGAGATGATTGAGGGGAAAGTTTGCGACCAGCTTAGGTTAACGAGATCTGTAGAAGCTGGAAACGTTTTACCGTTTTAGTTAGATTTTTGAGTTGAATTTACCGCTCTAACTTCAAATCATTAAAAAGAGTTGTTAATTAAGCACACACCAATTTTGCCTTGTAGAAATTCGAAGATTAACCTGTTTACCTTGAGTCACCTTGTAAACTGATAAGTTTGAATCAACCGGATCGACTGCAACCTTATAGATCTGGGGTCTTTCAGGGAATAATTGTAAGGGCCTTTCCGCACTGGCGGAAAAGTTGTTTATCTAGTCAAATTTCTGTCATCAACATTTTACTAGCTCTGCATAAAATACTCTGTATAAGGACCCTTCCTTGAGGCGTATACAGTCAGTATACAGAATTGTATAAGGTAAATATAAGGATGTTTAAGGTCCGTATAATGATCAGTACACGTCAGGGTATGCTAAGAAAATACCTGTTGGTATGTCGTCACTTGATGAATAAATTGGAGTTGGAATCCTTTAGCAAACTATACTGGCTGGTCTTCTGAGCAGATCAGGCGCTACCGGAATTTGACAGCTTTGAAATTTTTACTGCGGATGCAACAGACGAAAAAAAATTGTCATGACGAAATTTCTCTTTTGATTTTGTTCAGACTTTCTTAGTTTTGTCCGGTACAGCAGAAAGGCCGTGAGGCAGCAAAATATTTAATTGACAACAGGAGGCAAAGATATCTTTCTTTTTTCGAAGGCATTTCGAGTCATTTTCCAATTTAATTGTATTGCCCTTAGGAGAAGTATTTTAATAAGCATAAGTATAGAGCACGCACGTACTTTTAGTATTTCCATTAATGGTACAGCATTTCCGGGCCTTTGTTCCAACTTTACGGAATTTTTTCAAACAAGGTTCCAGTGCTAACCAAGAAACCTTGAACACTCCTGCCAAAATCATCGGGATCGTCAGAAAGTGAATGAGATTACAAACGCCATCGAACATTTGACCTGCCTAGTTTTATATTGGTCTCATACTAATTCTAAATTGTTTTGTCCAGCGAGTTGTGGAAAATTAAGTAAAGGATAAATTAGATCTCAGGAGCCATGACCAGTTATCATTTATCGCCTAAGGGGTCGAATGATTTTACTTATTTATTTAATTTTTTGTGGGGGGATCACATGGTTTTCAGGGAGAACAGAAGGGAATCATTCATCGCAAGAGACTATACACGCTCTTAGCCATCGCTAACGGTGTATAAAGCAAGGACTATTGAAAATTGACTGTCTATAAGGGTGAGGGGGGGGAGGGGGGAGGTCATTAGAATATACACAGCCTAAGGGGAGGTATCCTAAGGGGAGGTATCAGGGAAATTTTATTGTGACACGACCAAAATCCTTCAGAAGTTAGAGTACTTTTCTCTGGCGTATTCAAGAGATTTTCAGTTTCCTCCGTTTCAAACTTAAAATGCTACCTTCAAAACAGGATATTTATTATTATTGATATATTTCATTGGAATCTATATGTTAATAGATCAAGGTAAATAAGTCCTTCTCATTTTGTCTTATATTTAAACTTAACGGAAATGAAAGAAAAATAGAGTCTAACACAAATTTCTCTCCCTATAAACAAGTACGGGTAACGGTCTCTTTTTCATGGCCGGTTCAAATAAATGCATTCTACGCGCACTTTTTAGAAATACAGATCTGACCCGTTAACAAATGGCAATTTTCTTTAGAATCACGCTCTTCTCAAACACGCTCTGTGAAAGTCAGCGATTGGTCGAGGCCATTCTGAAGGTCAGCCACTCTTCCGAAAACTGTCCATCATCTGATTAAAAACATGTCTGTCTACAACTGCATAATAAGCCTTTGAATGTGTGAGGTCAAGGTAAATTTACACGATTCTCAGAAATCTTGCATATCGAATATGCCAAAGACAACTCTCATGTAATTGGTCAATATTAATAGCATTTCTATCGCATGACTACTTTGTAATTTGTTTTACGCCTGTTTGATACATGAAGCGAAAGCCTTATCAAGCCTTTAATCATGGATATCAAAACGTTGCTCGCCAATCTTCATGAAGAAGTATCCTGCTCTGTGTGTATGGTCACATTTACTGAACCAAAACAGCTTCCATGTTTGCACAGCTTTTGCCTCCACTGTTTAGCAGGAATCCAAAGAAACAGCGGCCGCCATGATGTCATAACATGTCCTGAGTGTCGAAGGGAGAGTCAAGTCCCTGGAGGAAATCTTAAAGATCTGCCCACAAACTTTCGCATCAACAGCTTACTAGATGTGTTGGCCATAAGGGACTGCAATTCTACTGGAGTCAAATGCGGAAACTGCGACAAACGAAGAGTAGAAAGTTTCTACTGTTTTCAGTGCTGTTCATTTTGGTGTGACGAGTGTATCACTGTGCATAACTTACTCCGAGCAAATAAAGACCACCGAGTTCTTGCGCTCAAAGATTTTGAAGATCAAGACATCGAGGATGTCTTAAAACGACCAGCATTTTGCCCACGACCGGGCCACGAAAAGAAAGAATTGGAATTCTTCTGTAAGAAATGTGAACAAGCCATTTGCAATTCTTGTGTTGCAACCACTCACGATGGACATGTTAAGATACTACTGGAAGAAGCGGCAAATGAAAAGAAATTGCAAGTCATGTCTGAGATTGAGTCCAGAAAAGCAAAAGTGCAAAGAATGAGAAACAAAATATCTCAACTTGACGAAAGCTGTGATAAAATCCAAACCCAAGTCGCAAAAGTAAAAAGAAGCGCGCAACAGTTTGCCGAAAGCATGATTGCTGTCATCGAAGCCAAGAAACAGGAAATCTTTTCTGAAGCGGATCATGAGGCACAACAGTACCTGGAACGTTTGCGAATACAAAGGATCGAGATTGAAAACAAAGTAAAAATGGTCGAAACAGCTGTAGGAAAATCTGAAACACTATTACAACGGAGCACAAACGCAGAGCTTGCACAGTTCGATGACTCACAAAACACAACACTCTTGAAAGGAGTTGATGATGAGAGAGAAGAAGTCGACTGCAACCTTGAACATTTAACATTTATTTTCGAGGAAAACAAAGCTTTGAAGACAAAAGCAATCCACGAGGGAATCGGCTCCATTAGAGCGTTTCTCAGCAAGACCAGAGCGGATCAAGCAACTGCTGAAGGAGAAGGACTCACTGAGGCGATCGTTGGAATTCAAGCGAAATTTGTTTTGACGACAAGAAATGCTGAAGGACGACAATGCCACGACGAGCGTGACCGAGTAACAGTGGAAATTAAAAATCAGCAAGGCCATGACTGTGCGACGGAAGTGCGAGTCCAAGATATTAAAGATGGTAGCTATAAAGTGGGTTATTTTTCCAAAGAAACTGGAAGATGTAAGGCAGAAGTTAAACTAAACGAAGAACATGTTGCAGGCAGTCCATTTCCGGTTCGAGTGAAACCCAGACAATTCAGACCCGTGCTATCTTTTGGACAACGAGGTTCGTCTGCTGGAATGTTAAACCACCCCTGGGGAGTGGCAGTGAATGAAC